AAAAAATTAATTCGTATTTTTAAAATATTTTTAAAGTTCTTTCATATGTCCCTTGCTTAAAATAAATTAAATTCACAATTAACGGCAAACATATTTAAGTATCTAACAATTTGAAAGAGAATTATTGCGTGTTAGAAAAAAAATAATTATGCAAAAATGGTGAGTTTATGCTTAAGATACATCAAGACTATCGTTAAATGCATGCTAAAGGGTTTGTCTTTCTCTCGATGGGTTGGACCGCTATTCATGAAGCTATCGTAAAAATGACATGTCAGAGTTCACTATCCATTCACGTTCTTTTCCTTGCACGTGCCACGTCGAAGTAACTGTTCAAGACATCGTTTAATTTGTGACTTACAAGAAATTGTACGTTTACTGTCATTGCCATTTCAGGCGGATTCGACATATTGACCTTTGACCACTTCCTTTTTTTGATATCTTTGCACTTACAGCAAAATGCATATCATTATCTCTGACGGATAAATAATTATACACGGAGATGCTTGATGGAATGGAACTAGAGTCATTGAGTAAGAGAATATTGAAAAGTGGTAACGAGAAATGCTAAAGGAAAAATATATTAAATAGTGAAGAAATCAAGGTTCTAATTGCAAAGAGAAACGATCTTTGCCGATAGCATGTCCGGAGAGCTTGGCGGAAAAAAGTGTAGCCGTTACGTCAAACACGCACGCACGTCAATGCACATCGATTATCTAGTACATATGTGCCAGCGATCGATCTTAAGATAGCCATTTTAGGCTTCGATTCCTCTACGTGATTAATGGCATTTTAATAGATCATTCACTTTGGCAAGCCATCACACCTTATTTCTCTTTAGACATCTTTTTTTATTAATTTCTTATCCGCGCATTATATATACAACTTAATATTGATCCATGCACGAAAACTGTTTTGTTCTAAATTATTTATTTTATAATAAATGTGAAAACAAACAATAATATTTCACAAAATAATTTTGCTTTCATTACTGCACATATCTGTCGTATCGTAATTTAATGCACTTCTTCATTTTGTTGCATATATATAAATATGAGATTTAGAAAATAAATCTGAACAGCTTCTCATCAGTAGATAGATTCTTTGTCGATCTAAAAATCCGTGACCTTCGGGAAAAGCTCCGATCGTTTTGCTGGAAACCGGAGCTCGGCCTTTTTGGCCTTTTCTCGGTGCTCTCCACGACGCGCTGTCCAACGCGTCCTGCAGATCGGCAACCGGTTTTCCTATGCCTCTCCCAACCGATCCCTCACTCCTACTCTTACTCCCACTTTTGTCTGTCTCATTTCAGAACCCCGCGCATTCTCCATATTCTCATCCCTCACAATGCCATAACACTACGACGCCAACACATCTCTCCAAATTTATGCTTCTGAGGACGAGTACTGTCGGCGACGTGTTTTGCATTGGGTCATCGTATGCAAGTGTAAATGTGATCTCTTGATTTTAATATTAGCTAGAGAATATTAGTGAGAGAAGGAAAAGGAGACACAAGCATTCACTTTCTCATGATTGCTTATTTGGCACACAAGTGTCATCGTTTAAATGTTAGGGAAAATCATGAAAAACCTATTTAAAATTTTTGGAAATATTTTTACGAGCCTATAGATATGTACATCCCAATTTCCATGGTTTGTTTGAAAAGTGATCGCGTTATTACTTTTCCATGATACAAACCAAGAGTGACTTAAACAAGTTGAGAAGCGATGTAAGGAAAGAGAAGTCTCGCTTATTCAGGTTATATATTTTTTTTATCATTTGTAGAGTAAGATTTACACATATATGTAGTGACATTATGTATGTTAAAATGCAATTTCTTTTCTGTAATTTTCTACTAAATTTTTTTATTAACTTCGAAAACACGTCTAAACATTTCAACGTTGAATGTAGCTTCTAATTAGCTACGCAACTGGTTACTCTTCGCAGTTCTCGTTATATCTCATTCCTGGCTATGTATCTGAGATCATGAAGAGCAGAGACGACTTGGTGAAACTGTTTTGCTTGATCTTTTTTCCGCTCAGCGAACGTTTTCGCTTTCTGATAAAACTCCTTGCGGTTTCTAGGCTAGATAATGAATAAATAATAACTTTATGGCTCGCATATGGGAAAAATTCTGCAAGCAACAGCTAGATATACAAAAAATGCTAGGAAGCGAGTGGTTTTGAAACCGCGAGAAATCTCATTATCTTTGAACACGCGCGAGTGCGGCCTGACGCTTCATTTTAACAGAGCGCGCATCAATTTTCTGCATGACTCCATTCTCATCACATTGTCAATTTTTTTCAATCTACCGGTGATAATATGCGCATAACTTGATGGCGGAAGCAATACGAAGAATCCGTTCGCGGATCGAAATACTTGCGGTTCGCACATTTGCGCTCTAGCAATTATGTATAATGTTAATAGCCATGATAACGATATAAGAGGATAAGCGCAGCAAAAGTGAGCTGCTTGGATCGAGAATTTCACCTTCTCTTTTCTCGTGATCTCCTTACTCTTACTCGCACACATCATCCACATGGACTGAGGTATTTTAGTACCCCGTTCTGCAAAACGATGCAACTTCTCGGAGATTAAAATTCTCGTTAATGAAGTAAAAGAAGAGTACAACTTTCGCGATCAAGCTATCTTGCACATTACTTTATGCAAATATTTCTTTAAACAAATTTTTTATTGATTAGAAAAAAATATCTATCGTATAAATATTTTTCTCGGCTTTACAAATCGACAAATGTAGACGTTTCTTTTATTGGCACACAATGCGATCTCGTTAAGATATAAGAATGAAACATTTGATTTCAAAAGATTTTGATATCATTAATGTCACATTGTAGACTCGGATACGTTCTAAAAGGAAGATTCACCAACGCGCATAGGCGCATCTTTAATCTTCGATCATTCTTTCCCGTTACGAACGCATAGCATAGTGCGGGAGCTACCTCGCATTGTTCGGCTCTCCCTTTAATTCCCGGACGGTAGTCAGTTAAGATCGCACCGCGTATTCTAGCAGAGAACGAAGGGTGAATGAGAATACAAGTACGTAATCACAAGCACGGAAAATTGCATTCTCGCTCACCTTCCCTTTCTTTCCGCGACTCTCGCGGTAGATTTTTATTTCTTCTCTCTCGCATCCGCGATCGCAAGTCGACTTAATTACGCCCATTACATATGTGCCTAGGATAATCAATTTTGCCGACTTGCGAATGAGAATTCGACATAGTCTTCGACGGGGGGTACTGATAGGAGAAAGGAAGTCGATCGCGGTCTATCTATTACGACGAAGAGTTAATATAATACAAACATGCGAGTTACAGCGAACGAGAGAGAAGAGAAGAAATCGATTTTTTTTTATTAAAAAGTCGATTAAAAGATTTATTAAAGATATATTGAAAATTAAAATTATATTCAATATTGAATTTATTCTTTCAAATATTATAAGAGAAGCATAACGAGATTTTTTGCAAAACCTTGATATATTATTTTTACACCGAACATGGTTTCATTAATCGTTCTAATTTACGTAACGAGAGATTGGCAATGTTCTAGTACAAATATAGTCACGGCTATGTTGAAAGATCTCGATAAAGTCATAGCGTGATTCATCGCTGTTTGATTACTCAAATACTACGAGGTAAGTCGCACGAGACGTATGCATAAATTTTTACGAAAGAAAAAGAGAGAGAAAGAGAGAGAGCAAAAGAGAAAAAAAATCGCGGAGTAATTATTTTCCATGCGTGTTTTTTTCTTATGCAATCCTGCGCGCAATCACACTAATTTCACCCTTGTGAAGCCACACAATTCATTTAATGTATCTAGCTGTTATTAGGGTTAATTAATTGTACGTCAACACGAAGACTCATTGTCAGTGGAAACAATTGGAGCAGCCTTGATTCTCAAGGCGATTGAACTTGCAAATCGGTCATCATTCAAACCAATACAATACAATCTAATACATCTAGTGCATAATTAATTTTATTAATCAGGATCAATAGTTGAGTCTATTTCGCTATTCTCGTTTATTCAAAGCCGCACTTAACGGTTGTCTTTAACGGATAATTAACCCTCGTCTTGTTCTAATTGTAAGTGTCGCGCGATTACAAGCTTCGTTCGTTAACTGTGGTTATTTTTTAATTGCACATTGCGCCAAGGATGATGCCATGCGAGCGCGCGCATTGTTTGCACAGCTCGTATGAATTTCACTTCCGAGAAAAGCGTCTTGAACGAGAGGATATTCCGCATGCCTCGTAATATTGCGTGACAGACACGAGGAAGGTTTGCAGCGGTTAAATATGATCCGGAAACGTATCGGCGAATTCATTCTTCGTGCTTGACTATTTTTGAGAGAGACGCGACTATCCGCCCTTGTAACGTCGAGAAAAAGCTTCTCAATTGCGAAACTATATCGCATTCTTACGTGCAGACTCGTTGTCGGTTCGTTCCATTGTTGTCGGACATTATCATTTTTATAAATAACCGAGCCGTGAAGCGAAGGAGAAAAGAAACGTCACAGTAACGAGTTTAAAGTCAGTCATAACGAGCGCGTTGCGCGACGCATGAGAGAACGTTTCAACCTTGACTGGCGCTTCAGGTAACTATGATCCTCGTGATACTTTGTGGGCATCGCAATCTAGGACATGCTATTTAGATGCGCGCGCTCGTCAGGTGCTTCGAAACTTTACGATGCATTCTGACAGCTGCATTATACGGCTTATTATTCCCCTACTGCGATTGGTGTTATAATCACTTTAAAAACAAGAGTATGCCACTTTCACGTTCGCACAACTGTTCTATAAATATGTCCTTGCTATTCCTTATTCATAATATTTGCTCCAATTAAGAGTAGATACCAAAGTATCTTTCCGCGATATACATGCACATTCTTATATAATTTTTCTCTATTTAAAGCTTGAATTCTTCTGTTAAATAAAATCACGCGATAAAGTGGGATCATCAAAATGGTGAAATTTAGACATATAATTGCTCACCATTGGCGCGTACAAGCCCGACGATGCATATCCAGCACAGGGCCAGTCTCCAGAAACGGTCAGCCATGTCCATTCCCTAGGTAATTACGAAACGCTCGCGGACTGTATACTCGCGATCCGCGTCGAGGACAAGTAAATAAGGAGGGAAGAAAGAGGAGAACCAAGGAGGAAAGGAAGAGGGTTCGAATATTTTCGTATTATTCGCGACGAACTCTCATTTAGTCGGACATGCTCGGCTCTCTTCTGCGTAGAAACGACTCTCCTCTCTCACCGTCACCGCGAAATCTTGCGTCGCGAATAAGCCCGTCAGTGGAAAGGACCAAAGACCAAAATGGGCCTTGATGAAGACGCGCGAGCGATGTTCCCCGTGCGAGCACGCGAGAGACACTGACGGGCCCAGCGAGTGGCGGAAGAGTTTGAACCGTCAGCGGACCCAGACTGCAGCATCGGCCAGTGGCGTAGAAATGGATCAGGCACGTTATGCCATAGCACGTATAGCTTTGTATCATTTTAGCTGAATGCTAAAGTTTTCACTGCTGCTAATTTTGCATCAGAGATCTGGAATCTTTTACTCGACTCCAGGCTGAAATTCAAAACGGAGACTGAGATTGAGATAAATATAATTAATATCGATGATATTGTTGTAGTAATGATGTTCTTGTAATGATCATTTTCTCATCTTGCATGTACGACTAGTTCTTTATTTATTATAAAAAGTATAGAATTCACTTTGCCTTTCAATGTCATAAATTAGCGCACTATCATAAATTATAGCGCACTATTTATTGGAATTAAACTATTGTTTGATGATAATTGCATTAGCCAAGTTGCATTGAGCATGCCTAATATGATTAGTGAGCACATACCACGCCATTGTCATCGAGAAACAAAAGACACATGGATGAGAAGGCCAGCCGCGAACCAAAGGTAGATTGCAAAGGTAGAATCGTGCGAATGTATATATGCTAGGATATGTATTAATGTACGCTTATCTGGTAACTGGAATAAGCTGCGGGCTCTGGAATTTAATTACAATAAGATATAACAAATCTCGAGTTAATTGATTTATTAGGGCGATATATCGAAGAGAATTCATCGATGTATCCTGGATGAAGGCGGGCCCTTCTATTCTGCAGTCGATCGCGTCGATAGAATACTATGGGATCCCATGGTTTCAAGCCTTAGAAAAACGCCGTCTTAATACACTACGATGAGTCGAAAGTCGACCCTGGTTAAAAAACGTTTCACACAGACTCGTTCTTAATTCTTTTTTATCTTCGAAGCACGAACAGAGGCCACGTTTTTAACGTAGGCGTGTGGGGCCAACGGCACCTCTAACTCTGGGCCTTACATGGATGCATCGTGAGTCACTGCCCAAAGCGGCGCGTATGTAAATGTATTCTGCTTACTTTATTCATACGTTCAGGATGTGATGACCAACGTCGTAAATAAAGAGAGAGACGTTTTCAAAACCGTTTTAAAAAAAACATAAAGACGACATTTATGATCATAGATAATATAAACGTATAATTTATAATCACTTACAATTAGAAAAGTAAACTAAAAATAAATAAATAAATAAACACAAGAAAAAAAAGATATGCATAAAAAATCTCTAAATATATAATTTTTTTCGTTCGTTGAGAATGGTAACTGCGTTAAAATTTAAGTATACTTATCTTTCCCAAGTCATATCGTCTTTTACGACGAAGAGTCAATAACGTTGACGTTACCGCTGTAATTTGTCGACGAGGCAGGAGACAAATGTAAATTTACTCGTGCTTCGAGGATGAGCTTCGAGATCTCGAGACGTCCCGACGAGATCCAGACAAGCGGATGTCTGTCCCAGGAATATCATAGGTTCACGGTAATATCGTCTTCGTGATACTTCGTAAGAGCTCGCATATGCTCTTGTACGGGACTTTTAGCCATTATTGGGCTTCGGGTGAAAGTGTTTGACTACATGTTTCGCAACACGATATCGAACCGCGACGCGAGATCTTGTATTGATACAAAAAAATATTTTCAATGCTATTCGTACTTCCATTTCCGACGATTCCTTGCGATTATTTATCGTACAAAATGAGAGAAAATAATATAAAAAATTATAATTTATATTTTTTAAGTAAATATATATTATAATTAATTAAAAAAGATATAGTTTCAAAAGAAAAAGAGAGAAAGGCGGATATATACTATTGTTATATAAGATTACATCTTTAACTTTGATGAAGGTCCAAAGATCGCTGCTTTATGCCGAAGAATACTTCGCTAATTAAGCATTAAACTAGCATTAATCTCGATCGAGAGAGGAGCACGCCGTGCGTAGAACGCTCGACGTGTGTATGTACAATTTATTGTTTTTTCCGGTATATTCGACCGAAGCAATATTAATCAAACAGGCCGTGCGTCGAGCAATTTAAATTCCCGTTAATCCACCGAAGACTTCGATGCTCGCACGAGCGAGTTGTCTTCCTCTCGCGAATATCATGGCGCGGGAGTAATCGATAATTGCTATTGCGCGATTATTTTAATTGACGAAAATGAGACGAGAAACTTCCGAGAACGTCTCTCCAATGGCGCTAATAAATCCGCGATATAATGGCGTGCCCTTTTTGCGGAAACAACGACTTCCACTGTTTCTCGGCGTCATTAGAGAATTCTCTCCCTTCTTCTTTCAGACTGTGACGGAACGCTCTGCGCTAATCGTGGATACTAATTACGGTCTTCGCAGGATAATGAAATAATCTTACTACGCGTAACTCGGGCGGCTGCTGACTTCCTTGAGAACTTTTTCAGCGCGTCGCGCGAGCGCTTTATTAATCGCGGGACAGAAACGGCTAGACGACGCAATGGCGAATTAATCTCGTGGGATATTAGCCGCTTCTTATTAAGACGAATCGTTTGCTATTTGTCAGCTAGCCTCTTCGCCTCTTCTTGTTTAACAATAGTAAATTATTGGCATGATTCTGTTATCACGAGCATCCTCTTTATTTGCGAATCTTGGTTGATCCATGCAAAATAACACAGCAAAATATGACTTGAACAATATGTATATTTTACAAAAATAAATACACGACGTTCAACGTCCCTATCTTCGCATGAGATACAATATGATTTATATACAATCCAATATACATATATATATATATATATATTAATTTATTTTGCAATTACATCGCGCTTTACAGTTCAACACGACATAGAGCGTATGATAGGAGCTTAAAATAACAAAATAATTGAGAATTTTAAACAATTACGTATAAAAATACTTTAAATATATATAATGCAAAATAAACTTCGGCTCGTATACAATTAAAATATGTGATAAATTAAAAGGCCAACTTAACGAGCTAATAAGGTGTTATTGATAAGGTGATATTGAAAAAGACTGTCGTACAGTTGAAACGTTTATCAATTGTAATATTAATATTTTATGACGTATAATAAAAAAATTTAATTAACACCTTATTAGCTCGTTAAGTTGGCCTTTTAATTTATCACATATTTTTAAAATACTTTACTTTACCTGTGTTTAATTTTACTCTCTGCTGGAGTAAAATATTTTCCTAAATTGCGAATATTATTTTTATCATATTAATACAATTTCACATAAAAATAGAGAAGGAAGCAACGACTATCACAAAGTACAGACTCGTTCTGAAGGTAACGGAAGAGCCCGAGCTATCCTGATTCAAGATCTGACATTGCGAGTTCCTATAGTGCTTGACATTTCCCTCGGAATCGCGCGCGAGCACGCAGAGCTCGTATTTGGTGTTCGATTCTGTCAGATCGTGGATCCTGAAGGAACGTTCGCTGTAAACGACGTCCTTCTCGATCATAGATTTGCTGCTGCCGGATTCTCGAACCACCACGTAAAAATCGCCAATATCCTCGCGCGACGTTACGAACCACGTCGCTTTCCAGGTATTGTCCTCATTATTGCTAAACAAAGACAAGTTATAATTTATAGTTTTTAAAAAAATTATCTGTCAGCAAAAAGTCTTTTGGACAATGAAATATATTTGGTAAATATTACGTACTAGTCAATACTACGATATTTCACGTCGGGTGTGATATCGAGTTCGGGTTCCTCTTGAATCTCTCTCTCGCCACAGCTCATGAGATCCTCGGTTATCTCCGAGATAAATTTGTTTGAAAGATAATTCGGACTCTCGCACGTCACGTTCAACCATTCTGTTGGAAGCTGCGTTTGAGTCTTCAGCCATCTCTTTAACGGCCGAGCGTGACAATCGCAGTGCATGGGATTTCCTAAAAGTATAAAATAATTATCTTAATACCGATAAGAAAATTAGATTGAAATAATAATTTCTAATCATTAAATTTTCTATCGATTAGTCACGTAATTACAAGTGCTTCGTTAGCCTTTGTTAAATTTAATTATTCAAGTTTTTACCAAAATATCTGAGAACCGTGCCGTTCTTGACAATCTTCATGAATCTCTCATCGAAAACGCCGATCTCGTTCTCTTTTAAGTCGAGAATTTTTAATTTCGCTAACGGTAAAATCTTATCGAGAGGCACATAGCTTAGATGATTGTTGCTCAGATATAAGTTGGTTAAATTTAACGGTGGTAGAAAAATATCTTGATCGGAGATGTCACTTAAGTCGTTATGCGACAGATCCAGAGTCTCCAAAGCTGTTAAATTTCCGATTACATCTAAAACAGAGCAATTTTCTAATAAATAATCTTTAGCAAAAAATACAAATGTCACATTGCTATTCTATTAATTGTCGAGACCGTTAAAGGCGATATTGCTAATTTCTTACTCACATCTCCTAATTTCATTAATATTGTTGTGAGAAAGATTCAAGTATTGAATCTTCTTGGCGCCAGCAATGAGATCAAAGGTCACAACTGGCATAGTATTGTAAGATAAGTCGATTTCCTTTAGCCTGTAAGGGATCCAGGGATCGTTTGGCAGAGTTTTTCGAGTAATAAACGAAATCTTGTTGTGGCTAAGATTGAGCCTCTCCAAAGACAGACAGTCATCGAGCAATCCATGAGTCTTGTTGTCCAGCTTCTCCAATCTATTGTGCGATAGATCGAGAGTTCTCAGAGACACGAGACCCTGAAACGCGCCGTTCGGTATGTGGCTGATGTTATTGTTTGTCAAATTCAGTGTCAACAATTGCAACAGCCCCTCGAATGTACGACTCGTTACATTAGTTATCTTGTTATTCGCCAAGTTAAGTTCGAACACTATCGGCAAACGACCGAAGGCGGCTTTCTCGAGCTTCGTCATGTAATTATTCTGCAATATTTTCGTCGATTAGAATTTGCAAAATTATTCGTGTCGACAAACATAAATTTTCTCGTTCTTACTTGTAAATAAAGATATTGCAAACTGCTTAGACCGCTCAGCGCTTGCCAGGGCGGCTTCGTGATGTTGTTCGCTTCCAGATTTAATATCCTCAAAGTCAACAGATTTTCGAAGCTCCCCTCTTGCAAGTTATCACCCAATTGATTCCGCGAAAGATCTAATGAAAGTAATGCATTCATAGTAGGCCACACGTCGGTGCTAGGAATCTCTTCAAGAAGATTTTCCGAGAAGTCCAAATGGCCTAGAGAAATTGGCAGTTGGAAAATCTTGGTCAGACGATTGTTTCTTACTGTCAAGCTCCTAAAATTTAATACGTATTTATTATATATATATATATACACATAAAATATTTTTAAATTTTATCAACGTGCAATAATGCACCTGCAGCTAGCTAGCCGAGTGAGACTTCCCCTCGAAACGTCATTTAATTGATTATAACTCATATCGAGCTCCAGAAGCGTCGGCAACGGCCCGAAAGTCGACGGTTTTATCTTCTCCAGAGAATTATGCGACAGATTCAAGAATCGCAGACTGAAGAGCGTCTGAAATACGGCGTTATAAATCTCGGATAGATTATTGTACGAGATATCGATCGTGTGGAGCTCGTAGAGCTTAGGAAAGGTCTGCCGTGGAATGGAGTGTATCAGGTTGTGAGAAACGTTTAACACTTTCAATCCCGTCATGTTGTGTAACGGAATCTGCGAAAGAATACATTTTTAACTAAATTGAATATAATAAATAAATATATCGTCTCGATGAGACGCGGTATGAGAATTATCCAATCGTTTGCATTTAAAAAATGCACTCACTTGATTGAGAGATGTGAATAGATTATAACTGAGTTGAAATTCCATAGCGTACGAGACGCTATCGAAAGAATATTTAGAGATATTCTCGAGTTTATTGTGACTGAGATCCAGTAACGTAATATTCACGCAGTTCTCGAAGGCACCTGATTCGATCTTAGAAATCTCATTATGAGACAGATTCACTTTTGCCAAGTAAATATCTTTGAACGCCAGTTTTTCTATGACTGTCACAAAATTCTCGGAAACGTCTAAAAGCTAAAAATGGGCATTATTGAAGAAAAACTGTGAAAAATATGATTATAACATAATTTAAATGTAACATAAATATAAAAATAAATATAATTTTCAAACTATGATTATTATATATACTTATATATACCTCAGCAAATTGCAGCTGATTGAACATTTGAAAGTCGATCTTTTTGATGAAATTTCGAGAGAGATCGATGGTACCGATCCTTGTAATAGAACTGAAGGTCCCACGACCCACGTCGTCGACTTGATTGTCACTCAGATACAATCGTCTAAGAAAACGCATGCCGCGAAAAGTATTGGAATCCAACTTTCTGATTTTATTGTGGCTCAGATTCAGGACCTTCAAGACAGAATTTCGGGCGAAGGTTCCTCTAAAACGAAAGCACTCTTAGATATTTCATGTCATCAAAATCATGATTATTATTCTTATCAAGCTTGTCAACCTCTTCAAATCGGCGATAGCATTGTGCGACATGTTGCACCATCCCATCTTGACGAGATCTCCCAAATGAGAAGCGTCCAATTTATCAATCAAATTATGAGAGAGATCCAAAAATTCAGTATCTCTCAGACCTTTGAACTGATTCCTCTTTAGATCTTTTATCTTATTGCCGTGAAGATCAAGTGTTTTCAACTTCTTAACCGGTGTCAGTGCTTCCGCAGGCAAAGAAGATAACGTACCTGAAAAGTATGATATAATTTGTCAAGAGTTATGCCTAATTTAATATTTTAATAGTTAGTTTAATAGTTAATTAATTTTGTAATTTCTTTATAGATACTTTAAATAATAATTGAGAAAGAAAATAATTGATATTTGATGCAAAACATATTTATTTTACACTTGCAGCATCACACAATAATTCAAAGTTGCAGATTTATAGTCTTTAAACCTGCTGGGAGAAATTGATATACCTAGATAATAAAATAGTTGTATTTTCTATTAATGATACTTTACGATGAGACCGTTATTGGTTATTACCGTTACTGATCTCCAATGTTTCCAGCTTCGCAGCAGCCGCGCTTTCACTGAAACTATTCCCTGGCAAAGTGGACATCCGGTGACCGGTGATGCTCAATAGGCTGAGATTACCAAGAACTTGCAACGCTTCGCGTGGAAATTTCTCTAAATTACTACTTATCACATGGAGTTCCTGTAGAGTCCTGTTCACTCCGAGAAAGCTGTGCTCCTCGATCAATCTCAGCGGCGTATCAATAAACCTCAACACTCGCACGTCCAACGGATATAGGGCAGGCCCGTAAAATCGTACTATGGAAATCGCGAAAGTGAATTCATTAACTCGACATTCGTCATTTTTCGCGATACGAGGATCTATATGTATTTTTTTCGCGACATAGAATCTCACCTATGTTACACTTGTACAGAACCAGTTCCTCGATCGGCATGCCCTCATTCCCCAGATTCGTGAAGGCGAGGCTGAGACTGGCCAGATTCGTATTCTCGCAGCGGATGTATAAACCCCTGTCGCTACCCCGTAGGCAAGTGCAGGGATAAATGTAAATCGCGTCCTTTGGACATCCGAATCTTGGCCCGGGTGGCACGTAGCCGCCTATTACGGACAGGGCCATGCCCAGTAACAGTAGCGGCGATAACATTTCACCTATTCAAAAGAGATATATATATATATATAGTAAAAAGACTTTTCATTCTCTCCTAATTATATTACGTCATTTTAATTAACAATTATATCGATATATGTGCAAATGTATACCAAAACACTTCACATAAAAGTTATTATTTATACCACATCATTTCTCTGTAGCATAAATTAAAGTCAACAAAATGATATTGAGAAGGTTTTGTTACATTTACACTATATTGCTTATACTTATAAAGATAAACGATATTTTATAGAGAAGTTATAAGTATTAGCTTTATGTTTAAGACGAATGATTCGGTTAGTCATACCATGATGTAATGCGTGTGTGAAAAGTGGAAAAGTTTTCGCTGCGTGAACTCTTTTAATTAATAAGTAGATCGACAAAAAAAAAGATTTTTTAAAAAATCGCAACTACTTCGCGAAACGCTTCGTGATCCGACGAATTATTAAATCCTTCTTTCTTTGTCTTCGTTTGCCTGTTTTTCAGTAAATGGCGATTACATCGGTCGCTCAATTCACGATCTGTTCTCACCGCCTATTTTCTCCCACGCGAACTGCTGCGAGATCCCGCGATTCTCTCGATACACGAAGCGCGGAGGTGACTAACCGCTAAGATTATCACGATAGCCCAAATGTGTCCTTGAAGAAGAATCTGCGTTTTTTTTCAGGCCGTCGACGTCGCTACCTACGCATCGCGGAATATGGCAACGCGAGAAATCGAGATCTCATAATGACGCGTGCTATAGCTTCGCCGATCCATTATTATTCAACCATAATTAATTCGTCTGCCCCACGTACGATGGGTAATATCACGCGAACCTAGCGAAGGAAAGTACGCTGCTGCACGTTTTCATTACGTTGCAAATTATAAACCGCCATGCAGAGAGACATTTTTAGCCTGTGTACCAAATAATTTTGTCTGATATATTACTGCGCGCATCTTGCAACAGAGAATTACGTAAGCGACATTTGTCCATTCGGAAATGTTAACGCAATTAAACGAATTATTCGTTTTCACCGCATTCACGACGTGAAGAAAACACTCGTGAAGCCACCCGCGTAAGCGTACATAAAATTTCGATAGAAAATCAACGATTACGTGCAACGGCGCTACGCTGCAGTTATTGCAAATTGATCGTTTTTTCTTTCGAAACTTCTCGACGATTAGCAAATACAATCTCCGTATAATAACCGTCCTCCTTTCGAGGATCTTCATCAGGCTGTTATTGGTGATTGACAGTGGGTGGATTTGAAAAAGATTATCTGACCATGAAAAAATTGTATCTGTCATCATTATTAATTATAACGTGATGCAATTGTTATATATATATATGCATCATTTTTCTTGCTTAATATTTGCGTTAATTTCACAGTTTTATCATTAATTAACGATTGCATAGTAGTTTCGAAAATTAGATATTGTCAACTTATACTTTCGATATGGCTCGCAGTATCTGCTAATCGAGATCGCCGTAAAGCTCTCGCAATTAACGGTAGCGTGCAATTAAAGTAATTGTGGGATCCACCGATCTGAGAAATGGAGAACTATGCCTTATTACAGCCCTAGTAATTCAGCGAGCAAGAAGGTAAAAAGAAAGGCACCGTGATCTAGTTTAAGCAACATTTATGCAACGTTCGCGATATAATATACTGACGCGCACGAAATATATAGAAAACATAGTATTATCTGCATTATATTTATAAGAGAAAGAGATTCATACAATTGTTTTTATCTTAGAAAATATATATGCTGAATAAAAGTATATATCTGTAGAATTATGTAAAGCTTATGTTGAATTATGCAAAACTTATGTTAAACTGTTATTGCAGAAGTCAGAGAATGATGAGGTGATAATCTTTGGGTAAGCAGAGCAATAGGTACTACTGAGAAAAACGCGTGCACCTTTCACTTATTTCAATTGATCTCTTTCCCTCGTAAACCAAGGAACTAGTCACTGGACCGAATCACACTGGTCTCTCGTTTAAACTTGTATCTAATAAAACTTGGATCTAAAAAAATTCATCATTGACGTAGGTATACTAATAATACTATTCGTTATTTCCTGTATCTGAATCAAAACTCGAACGGTTATTCATACAGATATTGTCAATGCGAAAATATTTACATACTCGATGAAAAATTATGAAGGGTAGCCTTTAGAACGTGAGATGATTTCCGTTTCTCGAAAGTGGAAAGAACAACGGCAGAGAGAAAAAGAGCTTGTGCCACGCTCTACTTTCTGAAAGTCTATCAATTAGAGCTATTGTGTTAGCGTGGCGAAGATAGTTGACTTACGTAAAAAAAGAATGCACAACTACCTTAAGAAGAGTATTATTGTATTATCACAATTAAATACTAACAATTTTATTATCCGAGAAATCTGGGGATCGCACTTTTCCTGTACATCTTTTTGATGTAGCAGCTGAGATTATTTACGTTTCTCTCTCACCAGTCGTCCTTGTGAATACCGTGCAATACCCCTATTGTTTTGTATAGCTTTTTTTATAATATGGAATTTATTCCTAGTAAAAATCGTAGCTACAGCGGAAATTTAAAAAAATCTTAAGCGTAAAAGAAATCTCCAAAATTATATTGTTTGTATAAAACATGCAATCAATATTATAAACAATATTACAAAAAACCTAAAAGTTAATATATTTTACACTAAATAATAAACATAAGAAATAAAATATTTATTAATTAAATTTTATTTACTTGTACAAAAAAAGAGAAAATAATTATAAAAAAAAATACTGACAAAATAATAAAATTATTATAAGTAAATGAAATAAAAAGAATCGTGCAGAACTTGATTCAGCCAGACATTAAAGACAGCTACTTCAAATAATAAGTGCAGAAACATAACGTTTTGCGCACGCATTAAAGTCATCATCCGGTGAGAGGAGTTTGACGCACCTAAAATCGCACGTGGACACTCAACCGAAAACGTCATGGTGTTAGCAGCAGCATTGTATTTAAAAATATAGCGAAGCTAATGAGCCGTTTAATTGATCAGTTCCTATAAAATAAAATGTGAACGGCGTATTTGATTACTTCAATGCGAGTTGATAAATTGAGATTTACATATAAGAAATGATATTTTGCGCTCATAGTTTTTTAAATGCTTTTTCAGTAATTTTAAAATAACGGGAACAAGTTTATTAGTTGTTACACAAGTATGTCACAGTACCTTGTTATATTTTGCCCTCGAATCCTCAAAAGCGCGAAAATCGTCTTGATCTATTTTAAGAAATGCACTGCTGATGTTCAAGATTACATGTTCGCCAGTGAGCAATTTGTCCTTTTTCTTTCACCACGCAGGAATGGAAAGAAGGAAAGGAAGAAAAGCAAAGAGAGAAATACACACGAGTGTTTTGGCCGCGTGTCTTCAAGACATTCTGTATGTGGTTCCCGGGTGAAGCTGTCGTGAAAACTGAGCCGAGGCTCGGAGGCGAAGAGAAAGGCAGCCTGAGAAGTAAGGCCTCTCTCATTGGCAGTTGATACCTGCTGTCCTTTCGTGAACATCCTATCTTTTGCTACCAACTTTTGCCGCGAGCACGATCGTATTTTGATAAAATACGACCGTATCTCAGAAGGTCATGGTTGATTAACTGCATTTTAATGAGTTTTGTAAATTTCCTATTAAAATAATAACTGAAAAATATACCAAATTCTTTAATGAATAATTTAAAAAATGATTAACTTATTTATCATTTCAACTTTCATATATAATAAAAATATTGAAAATATTGAAAATGACAATGAAAGATTATTGAACATAGAAACTTATTGAATTATGCTTCTTTGCTTTTTAATTCGTTTTATCTCTACTTTGCTTATTTTCCTAATTTATTAAATTATAAATATTAAACTTAATAAATAAAAAAGTTTTGTTGTATAATTTTGATATGTGCTATATACGATACGATTCTGGCAAAACCTCACGTAGAAGAAAGTCATTGAATTGCATGCTTAGAATTGATTGATGCTAGTGAAAGTACCTTCGTACATAGTTGCCTGGCGATGCTGACTCGAGCAATTCATAGCATGAAGCTGACATCTGTTGGTGCTCAAATAAATTTAAACTTAAACATTTTCAACTGAAAAAGTTTAAATAAAATATTTCTGTAAAGATTATTTTCTTTATGTCAAAAAAGTTCGATAAACTTTTTTTAATTAAAAATACATACTTATTCGCTATTTTTTGCAATTGTTTTTCTAATGTCTCTGATCTTTCTCTTTTAAATTATATAAATACTTTGTAAAAAGAATATTCTCTCTGCATTCTCTGAAAATATCTATAACACAACAGGATATGATAGTTAAGCGTCGTTTAAACGATAATGAGAAAGAATGAGAGGTCTTTTCCGAAATTACACGGTTATTAAGGTCATTGAGCTCTTCGAGTTCTGCAGTTTCAAATAAAGAGCTCGCCATGCAGTCAGTTGCGTTATCCATCGAGTAATCCGGTAATAGTGTTCGCCAACATCCAGCCATAATTTCAAGAAGCAAAAATTTGTGTAGTTGTTAAAATCGCGAGTAAAATACACGATGATTTATTTTATATTTATACTGAATTTATTATTAAGTGAGTCAAAATTAATTGTACAAAATTATATAATATTTGCTTATATATATAAGTCTGAGTTTTATATATCTTTTATTATACAGGTACAAAGATGACAAATCAATTTCCTTTGGGCTATTTTGTAAGAATCTATATTTCTCAAACATTGCTCTAAAAATATCTGCTACGAATGTTCTCGTTTCGCGGTAAAAATGATAAATCATATTTTTTATAGGCTGGAAATCGTTTGGAAACCTATGAGGAAATATCTAGTGAACAGAACGATATCGATATCTTTAGCAATCTATCTTTTCATTTTACTTGCGAGGGTATGCCGACCGGTTTTTACGCAGATGTGGATTACAGCTGTAAAATATTTCACGTTTGTGAAAATTCCGGCCAGGGATTTCCAGTGATTTGCGCTAACAATACAATGTTTGATCAGAAACAACGGATTTGCACGGAAGAAAAAAATATTGATTGTCAACATGCTCATGAATGGTACGTATATATTATTTAGAAAAATATATCAATAAAAGATTTATGAATCTTCATAATATAAATAATAATTATACTCATTACAGGTACTATTTGAATGAATTAATTTACCCGACAGAAATCGAATCAAAAACTGAAATCATAGAGGAAAATGAATCAAAAGTGATTCAAGAAGATGCAATACCTTCCGTTTTGCCACTTTTAATTAATTAAAGATATTTTTCCTGGTATCAATTATAAGTAGAACATAAAAATTGATAAATTACTTATATAATAAAGAATCGACTAAAAAATGTCGGAGAATAAACATGTATTGGATTCTATGATATTATTTTGCTTTTATATTTATTCAACGTTCTAGTGTTCGCGTGTGCTCCTATGATCTTGACTCTGGTCTCTTTGTGCTCTTGTTTGCGTCTCCGGTACATCGTTTGCCGCAAGCAACGAATAGAACTGGTAAAAAAATTAAAAGAAAGAAGAAATGCACGAAGAAAACCTTCGATGTGGTAGTTCGGAATAATCTCAGGTCTATTCTTGACCATTCGAAGCTGGCTTCTCAAGGTTGTTGAAAGTTGTAGCGCCAGTATTTTCGATATCGATGCAGACATACATGCAGAATTTTATTATCTATTTATTATTTTATTTCTTAATTATATTTTATAAATTACTTTTAATTTTCCATTTATCTTCCCGCTTTCTTTAAATAACTTGGAGAATTTATAGGCAGCTTTCGAAATTATATTAATTATAATACATATATAATTGTATTTTTCGCAAACTTAAGTAAATAGAATAATATTAAAAATATATATAACATTAAATACAAAAGTGAAACGACTCTTATTAATTAATAGTTATAATGTGCGTGCGGAAAGGGATAATAGCAATTGTACAAAATAGGTACACTCCGTTTATTTTGAATCAAGTAACATAATTAAAGAGCATGTCAGTTTTTAAATCTATATGCTAACAGTTTAATATTTATTCTGCAATATAATTTTTAATGCCTTGTTACATTATCTTTAAGAAAAATATAAAGAAGTGACACCCTCCACCATAAAACCCCATGACAATGAAATAAATACTTCCTGCGAAATAGCGTGTGTTTTTCCTATTACATGATTAACGCGAGGGATTGTTTCCACAACCATTTACGAAAAAATACCGTTTCTTCGGGTTCTAAATTATCTATATTGCTATATTCTAATTTTAGAGAATATATGTATATTCTATTTATGTGCGTGAAGCCCGTATTTTGCTATATATGAAGAGTAAAATTGCCCACAATTAAAACACAATAAACGCATAAAATATGCATACAACTTTTTATATCTTTGTCTAATTTTGTTTCTAGGAAATAATAATGAAAATATTCCTTAACACAGAGAACATTAAAAGCTAAAATCATATAATTATCTCAAAATTATTTTTGCAATATTTGATTTAGACTTTGAGGGAACAACAGTGATATTAATAATACTCTTAACGACGAGACACTTAGCGCATAAGATTTTTTATATGTATAATATAGTATACATCAAAAACAGGATAAGTAGATTTGATCGAGCGAATCAATACTATTTTTCATAATGATAAGACTTAGGATGCTGTGGCCAAGTGATACCCGGACCGGTCTTATCATTGTCGTAAACGTATTTAACCTTTTGATTTTCCGATCCGAATAAATTCTGTCGAAGCATGCCGAACATAGCTGATGCAAGGGCCATGTTGCTCATCATTCCAGCTATAGAGGCTGCAGCTTTCGCATGAGCCAAGGCCGTTTGAATGAGGAAGCTTATTATGAGACCGATTCCAGGCAACATAGTGCTCATCTTCATCTTCAACGCTCTTCCGAGATGCATCATCGCGCTCGTGATCTTTCTGGACATAATGTCCTCTTGCAAATGTGGCAACTGGATTCTCAATTCCGTACGCATGTTGTTGTCAAGAACAAGGAACGACTCATTGACTTTGATCTTATTTTCATTATCTGAATCCTCGATTTCCTCCGTAGGAATATTTAATTTGTTTGTAAGCTTATCTGAATACTTATCGAACAAAGATCTAAATTCATTTTTTATGTTATTTTCTTTTTTGCGTTCTTCGTGACTCTCCGTAGACTTCGTAGGCTCCTTTTCAAGATCATAAGACAGTTTTTCTTTCAAGGGTATCACCTTTAATTCCTCTGCACTTAATTCCGTCACAAAATCCTCAGAATTATTTTTCTTCTGTTGTTCCTCCGTAAAAATTTTTAATCTGTCGGCAAACTTCTCGTTCAAGCGAGTTCCGAAGAGTACGCTGAAAGCATTATAAGCATCTTCTGTATTTAAAAATTGAGTGACATCACCATCAGCAAAATCCGTCGCATTGGCCTTAATCTTATCCAAAAACATTGTGATTATCTGATCGTCATTTATGGACCGTTTAATATCCGCGTACTCGTCACTGTCTTTCAAAAATTGAAAATCCTCTTGCACATCGTCTAGGCTTCTCTCTCTCTTTTCTTTCTCTCTTTTAAGCTTTTCATTGTCCGGTCGTTGCTCCAATACTTCCTCCATGATGTCGCTAATAATTGTCAGTATGCTCGGCAAATTCTTGTTGTCCTTGATCTTCGTAGCTCTACTCTCGCGGAATCCGCCAAAGATGATGCCCACCTCGCCGTTTCCGTAGCCTTTGATCGTTAAAAGACCCAGATTCGTCTGAAATTTCTCCTCCATCGCTTTTTTGTACCAGTCAAGGAAAATATTTTCCATGGATTCTTTTCGCATTAGCAATTCCTTCTCGAAATTATTCATGGACATGCCGAAGAAACGCTCTACTTCGATTTCTGTCGATCTTCCAAGAAAACCGAGGCCAGGCAGCGAGGGTAATGACGGCAAGGACGGTAAGGACGGTAAACCGAATAAAGATGGTATAGATGGTACCGCATTGACAAGCAAGGGCCAAACAAAAATGCCTATGCATCTGATGAAACTCAAACTGACTAGACATTGAGTTACCTGCGACATAAAACCTCGATCCGCGGTTTGCTCGTTAAAAACCTCAACCATTTTTAAAATCTCGTACTGATCGGCGGTCAGAGAATTCTTAATCGTAGAATTTAACGTATCTACGAAATATTCCTTCGGATTCTCAATGGGTTGATTTTTCTTCAAATTCGAAATATTAACTAGAAGTTGAAGAAATTCAGATTCCGTAATATTCGGGAACGTGTCATTTATCGTCGTTTCTGTAAGTTTAATCTCTTCGTTGGTGTCGTAGAAAGAATTTATTAATTGATCGGTATTTCTTCGTCTTCTCTCGTGTTTCTTAGACGATAAATTTGCGGGAACGGATTTTGACAATGGATCTTGTTGCTCAATGTCAGATAATTGAATTTTTTCCTTGGAAATATCTAAGAGGATGTCCAACGGTTGTCCAAGATATCCAGGAACGATTCCTAGTTCACCTAGAAAATAAAAGGAAATCAAAGATGAATAAAAATCAAATATTGAAAAGAAAAGTCAGTCTGTATTTAACGGATAAGACTGATTCACCTACTGACGGAGTATTCGCAGCCCTCGACTCTCCACTTATCTGGTTCGCCTTCTCATCATCCGCGACTGAAGAATGACTCGAAACTTGAAGAATCGTTTGTTCCGGCAACTTCGGTTCTTGCGATGAATCCGACAAGATTGTAAACTGCGGTTGATTTATACCACCGAAGCTGGGAAATCCTGGAAACTGAGGAATTTGAATTCCGCCCGGTAACATAGGGATTTGAGGGATTTGAGGAATTTGAGGAATTTGAGGGATTTGAGGGATTTGAGGGATTTGAGAGGGAATTGGAGGAAAGTTAGGGCCTTGAGCGAAAGTATTGTCTAGTCCGGGAAAATTCGGAATCTGACTTATACCAGGTATTTGACCCGCACCAGGAAATTGACCTATACCTGGAATCTGACCGGCATCAGGAAGTTGACCTATACCTGGAATCTGACCGGTACCAGGAATTTGAAACTGGCCGAGCAACTCCTCAAAATTCGGCAGAGCTTGTGAGAATTGCTTCAAAGTCGGCCAACTAATTTGCTCAGTGCAAGTTATAAAGTTATTGCTCCTTATGCATTCTAGCATATTAATTACATATGCGCGACGAATCGAATCCGGTATCGCTTTTTCAGTTAATTTGACAATGTTTATTTCCCGAGGAGTCAGAAGATTGTTTATTACAGGATTATTAGCGTCCAAATACGAGCCCTCTGAACGAAGTGTCAAATCTTTGTTCAATTCTTTTAATGTACTTTCTATTTTATCTTCGATCGCGTCGACGGTTGTCAACGTATTTTCATTCTTCGCGTTCTCCGAATAAGTGTCATGTAGCAGAATCGACGATGAATCGAGTTTCGTCCTCGGCAAGTTTCGGCTTCTAAAATCAGGGAAATTTGGCAATCTTGGATAGAATTGAGCGATAGTTGGCCAAGTTATATCCCGCGTGCAATCGAGAAACAGATTTTCTCGAACACAATTGACTATTCGCCCTACGAAAACTGATCTCACCGACTCCGGCAGCAAGCTTTCCGCAGCATGAACGATGTTAGCCTGCTGCTCTGTAAAATAACTCTTCGTTTCCGGCAATCTCGAAGTAATCATAGGATATGAAACGTCCGGTGTAGAGCTCTGCACGGCCTTGAGAATTTTCAGAATCACACCTTCCGGATGTTCCGAGAAAACGGGATAGAATCTAGTATCGGTGATGGTAACGGTAGCGTCTCCGTGCTGGCCAACCTTAACATCGGTCTCTGAAAACGGTGATGAGTCAGTCAGATTCTGCGGTAAGGTGGACTTGACGCTGTTTGCTTGAGGATGCGCTTCGAAATTCGGAAAGCTGGGCAACCTAGGGAAATATTCCGCCAGAGTGGGCCACAATATATTTCTCGAGCATGCTAAGAAAGTGCTCGTGCGAATACATTCTGTCATCCGTTCGACAAAGGTAGGACGAACTGCATCCGGTAGCAAAGCTTCTGTTGTATTAACGATATTCAGCTGTCGATCACTAAGTACATTGGTCAACTGCCGCGTGCTGATAAGCTTGACAACGTGATCATCTCGCACATTTGGCGATGATAGCTGAATTAACTTGATAATATTGAATATTACCGATTCGGGATGTTCTGTGAATATCGGTACAAATCGAGTACCGGTTACACTTATCACGGGACTGTTATTACTCTGCGGCAATTTCGTTCTGGAAATAATCTTTACGTTGGAATTCGCCTCGTTCTGCAATTGATTTAGTTCTTGTTGATTTTTTATATTCGGATGCGAAGCGGTTTCGTTCTTCAAGGATGTTTGATCTTCTTGTGTCGGCGGTTGCTTATGCGGGTGCTTAGACGGGTGCTTAGGCGGTAAATCGGGAAATTCTGGGAAATTAGGAACATAAAGAGAGAGCGTGGGCCAAATTATAAATCGCGTGCAATTAATAAATTCATTGTTTGTCTGAAGACAAGATAGAACTTGTGCGACAAGAGGAGCTCGTGCGGGGGGCGGTACGATGCTTTCCGCTAATTTTAGTATGTTGAGTTGCTTCTCGGTAATGGTCGTCAGAATTATTACGTTTCTACCTAAGATTAGATGTGAATTTTCCGGTATTGTTCTCATAGAATTACGTACTCCCGTTAAGATCTCCGTGACCTTGTTCTCTAATTCGTTGGATGCTTTGGAAGAAATTTTATTTTGACGCGTGAAGGTCGTGGAAAGACGACCTGGTGGTTCTTCTGGAATAGAACCACCGGATGGTTTTTCGGTGGTGGTACTTTCTTCGCTACTTCCTCCGCTACCTAATCCCGGGAAAAACGAGGAAAAATCGGGTAAATTCGGGATCGGAAAATTTGGGAAAAAACCGAAGACGTCGGGAAATTCCCAGTCCGGTATCCAATTGGAAATATCCGGTAGAGAAGGATATAATTGCCTGATCATCGGCCATGTTGAATATTTGAAACATGTTAGATAATTTAACTCTTGAATACATTTCACGGTTTTCTGAACAAATTCTGGTCGATATGGAATAGGAAGAAGCTGTTCGGCCATATGAATCGATAATAATTGTTCTGGAGAAAGTATAGCGACATAAGAATCAGCGTTATGAATGACAGAAGGAGTCGGTGCCTTCGCGTGTTCTTTCAGAGTGTTCTGAAGAATATTGATGATTACCGTTTCCGGTTTCGGTCTCTGGATTCTTGTGGCATCGGCATCTACGACTTCCGGAAGCTCGCCCGAGCCTTCTACGAAACTTGGAAACGGAACAATGGGATATTGCGGATATAATATGGATGGATACCAGTTCTGATAGTCCGGGAAAGCCGGCAAGGTCGGATAATATTGCTTTATCATCGGCCAAGCATAGTATTGGATGCAACTAAAGTACTCGAATCTGCGTACGCACGAAAACATCTGGTCGGAGTATTCACGGCGTATTTCACTAGGTAGAAGTTTCTCGGACATCTGAAGAATTTGAAGTTGACCGACAGTGAGAAGTCTTCTCAGAGTTTCGTTCTTCGGATCGATGAAGGTCGGCGACTGATCGTACGTGGCTGTCGATTCTAGAGCACCGCTTAGGATACTGAAGACGATGACCTCCGGCGTCAACAACCTCGGATAATAAACGTTGCTCTCAAATCTCGCAGATTTTGCTCTGTTACCTTGAAACAGATCGATCAAGTTTATCTCGATCGGTAAATTGTGCAAAGACTGGCCGACTGATTCTGGAAGGTTGTCGAGTATGATGGGCCAGACAAAGATGCGCATGCAATTCAGAATACTGAGACCGCGAATGCACTGTACCATGTTAGCTGCGAAGGACTGTCGCTGCTTCGTCTCCATCAACTGTTCGGCGCACTTTATTATTTCCAATTGATTCTTGTTCAATTCAGTCTCATTCAAGGTAGCCAGGTACGTCTCGTTCGATGGTGACTTCCGGAATAGCGCGATATTCTTCAAGGTGTCCAGCAATTGGATTTCTGTAAATTTCGGAATGTCAGAAAATACGTCAGTCGCTTGTTCTCTTATATATTGAAGCAAAGTTCCATTTTTCATTTGTTCCTGAAGTAATGTAGCTTGAGCTTTCCATTTTTGAAGACGATTAGGGACTTCCACTATTGGAGATGATTGATCAATATTCTCGTTCTGAGGCGATTTATTTTCCGAATCACTACTGCGTTGATTACGAATTTCTTTGTCTTTTGCAGCGGTAGCTGCATCAATCTCGATCGATTTTTCTGAAAGAAGACTTTCTTCTTCAAGCTTTTCCGAGCTTTGTTTTGCGTCACTGCTGACTGATTCAAGAGCGTCGTCTCGTATAGATATCAGTTTCTTTATCTGACCGTTCACGATCGATTCTTGCTCTCGACCAGGCGAATTGTCTTCTTCAGCATTTAAATAAACAGTTGAACTTTTATACTTGGACTTGGCCGAGCTAGTTAAATATCTATTCTCTCTGTTCGGATCGATATCTTTGACACTGATATCTTTATTATCTGATGCTTCATCGGCAACGTCCTCCTCTTGATTCCTTTCACTTTCGTTCGCGTGTTTCAAGCTTCGCAGGTCGTTACGTACTTCCTCATTAACGCTGTCGACATTCTCGATTCGTACTTCATCTAGATTATGGGTCGCTGAATTTTTAATCTGTCCCGTCTCTTTTTCATTTAAATCTAATTTCTCTGCCTGTTCTAAACTTGCGACATTTTCCAAGTTATCTCTCAGATCGGAGGAAGTCTCTCCTTTTTGCTGCACCTGATCTTCGCCGCTAGGCTTTGCATTCACGTTCTTCATATCCTCGGGCGATTGCTCGACGTTGACTAATTGCTTCTCGATTGCGGTTTTTTGTGAATCGGGGACATCCTCTATGATGTCTAAAATCTTTCGTTGTCCCGGTTCCTCAACATCGTCGGACTCCACCTGAGCATCAAATCGCCGAATACCCTCGTCCTTGTGCACATTCTCCTCCTTATCCTGCAACACAAACTTACCAGGAAGGCTCACGTCGTTCCTTCGTCGCTTCTTCGCCACGCTACCTTCATCGCCAGCAGCTTCTACCTGGATCTTGTCAGGATCCTCGACGAGTATCTCCACCGCCGGATCTTTCCTTTCTTTGTCACCAACATCCTCGTCGTCATCGTCTCCTTCCGTTCCTATCAGGCTCTTTCTTCGCGCTTGATCCGCGTTCTCCAAGCCGCCAGGTTCAGGGTCACTCACTTCCACGACAGGTTCCTCCGAAATCTTGGCGTGCACTTGATCCGCGATGACGTCACTGTCATCGTGAGGCACACTCCGCGCTCGTGCGTCATGAAGGACGCAGAGCAGAAGAAAGAGACAGAGAATCGTACGAGGCACGAGTCGATGGATGCTCGTGGTTGACCGTAGGCGTCGAGAGTTGAGTGCTCTCATGGTCGCGGTCGAGAGGCGAATGTCTCGGCCACTTCTGAGCCGATCCATGGTCAGCCATGCCACACGCATGGTGATACACATACCATCTCCTAAAGCACGACACCGAGAGTACCGGTCAACTCACGGACGAAGAAGTGAACCTGTAGATGAATAACAACCTGGCATTTCCATTTTTGCGGTGCCCCTCTACGTGCTTCTTCGGGGTTGAGGGGTAACGAGCTTCACGCAGCGGACGAGTTCGCCATCGCTGACCGGTTGTGTTTCCTGCGCGGAAATGGCAATAGAGTGCATCGATCGCTTGATTTAGCCGAAGACGCGATTTCCGTAACGCAAATCAATCTATCGTGTAAACATTAATTATGTATTTATTATATGAATTATCTAGCCTATCCGAGAGACAGTTGATTTATCTTAGATCCTTAGACAATTAAGTCGATTTAAGTAGATGCGAATGTACTTGACGCAACATAGAATGAATGGGTGAGTGTTTGCAGAGAAGAGAACGAGAAACATGCGCCTGATATATAGCAAACCATCCGACATGTGCTTTTTTATATTAGTGAGGATCGACTTGTATACGCGTCAATGAACATACAGGTTTGCTGTTTAGAATGAAAATCCAAATCAAATGTTTTGCTGGCATTCAAACAAACGAATCTTGCATTTTGTTTTATAATAATTAAGTAATAATATTATTTATAAATTATTATTTATTATTAATAAAAAATTAGGAAAGATATTCTTGTTGTAGACGTCTATTGATAGATAGATAAAAAATCCTCGATATTTTGTAAAACAGAAAGAGAAGTCATGATCGATTCACGATTGGAATAAAAGCAATTTAATTAATGATTTGCGAATATCTAACAAACACAGTCTTAAAGTAGAATTTTACAAAATGATAGGATAAATCAAAGCCTACAGATTTGAATGCGCATAAATAGAATATCGTATAAATAGATCAGATTTCAGGTTTATGTTTTATAGTTTCATCCGCCGGTCTCTCTGCTTGTCGGTGCAAAGGGTTGAATTTTTAGTCCTTGAAGGAATCGAGACTGGAAGGAATGGACAGGAAGAAGGGGTATCGCGGAGATGGTCGGAGAGCGGAGAGCAATGCATTTTTACGGAAATTTTATTTTCCAAGTCCGCGATGCGCCTCTACTCTTTCCCTCTCTCCTTCTTTCCAGTACTAGATTCACTGTGCAAAGACGATGCAATAAACCTGTACTGCATTTCTTGCTTTACCGTCTGCTTGCTTACGGTGCGTCCACAACGTTCGAAACGATTTTATTACTTCGACTACGATTGTTTCGCATAATTAGTTCTATTTTTCTTCATAATTTTTCATTACAAAATCTCTAAACTTATGTCTTTCTAAAAATTATATTTTTTTCTGTGTTGCAAAGAAGAAATATTAATGCATTGTAATTTCTTCAGCAATCATTTTAATTTTTTTCATATTTTGCACATCTTTTTCATTGACAAATAAGAAACGATGAAATAACGTAATTAGTTGAAAGTAAAAAAAAATGTCTGTTGACTTTATAGTATTAAATGTATTGAGGTAATCCATGACGTCAATTATTGACCATGACCATGACCATGACCATTCTTTGAGCCACTTACTAGACCGTTAATGAATTTTAAACATAATGTTTCTCATATTATCTCGTTATGAGGTCAGTGAACAATTTCTAAATTGAAAGCGTTTCCCGCATGCATTATTTGATAATAGGTCGTTATTTCTGCAGCTATTTACAATGACACTGCATATATGAATGCATGTTAACGTTGAGCGTTTAAGAATTTACCTTGTAATATCTAAGAGAAGAAAAATACATGGAAAATAGTTTAAAAAATATCTACTCATTTGTTAACAACAGATTCTAAATTTATAAAATATTTTTTAATAATGTGTGTGAAAAAATCACAAAAAAAATGTAGCAAATTCTGTCGGAAAATTGTGAAACAATTCGTTACTATTAAAGATGTATTCTTGACTTGATTTTTATTTAAATATATTCTTGGCATTCAATCACTTCTTTTCTAGGTGATGGTGCGGATTTCAGGTGCGTGATCGGTCGTTGCATGATAATGTCAAAAATGAAAGAAAGTAGGTCATTCTCAGAATTTCTTTTTTTTATTAAAATATAATATTGTTTAGATAAAAATAATATACTGGAATAAATGGGAATAAATAAATTTTAGACGTATTTTACATCAACAATTAAAAATGTCGCGAAATTTTGAATATTTTCAAATAATTGCATATCAGCGAACATCATTGCAAAACGTAATTTTATTATAAAAAAAATAGATCTATGATTTTAAGAGATATCCGCCTTCAACACTACAATACAGGTCGACGTTCTTCAAATTCTTTAAGGCGATTGTAAAATCGACATCTAAGAATCCGAAAGAGGTGCGCAGAAAGTCAACGCGCAGGGGAGCGGGCGATTCTCTTTCGAGTTCAAACAGCTCAGAGATCGCTGGAGGGATTCACACGGTTGGTTGTACGGGTCCGAATAACACGTATTTCGTGTAGTCCGGTACGAGAGGTTCGAGAGGAGACAGAGCGAAAAAGATCGGTCGAAAGAAAAAGGATCGTCAGTGTCGATGAGTCCGGATGGTGGTAAACCGGTCTGAGAATGAAGGCGATTGGCCGGATCCTGGCGTGCGTGCTATTGGTAGCTGTATTCGGAAAAAATGTAATTGCAACGAGTGCCGCGAATATTAAATTTTTGACGGGACAAGATAACACAATCGTAAGATTCAATACTACGCAACTAGAATTAGTTCCGGGACTATCGTGGCTGAATCTTGAAGATTCTCGAGGTATTCTGGATAGCGCATTTGAAGACGAAGATGATCAAGGTGAGATATCATTTTAATCTGTTATAATAAGTAAACATGTTATATGTAAATAAAAAATGTTATTTTACGATCAAAATGTCATAAATTTTACTGCAAGTTTTGTTATTAAAACGATGTACAAGATACATCATTATTTAGCACAATATTAACTTTCAGAATATATTAATATATATTATATGATATAAATTTTTAGTTGGTAGTTATTTTTTCATCAATATCATAAATTTCATATAAAACAATTTATACAGCATTATTAATGATTAATACTTTTATTATATAGACATTAAAAAATTTGAAGAGGCTCGCACTTTCGGAAGAATCAGAAGATTGCAGTTCATGTTAATGCCGATAATATACAAAATGGGAGTAATGATGACAATGTTGATGGTATTGACAGCGATCTCAGTAAAGGGACTTTTCATTGGTAAGCATCGTTACTTTCGTGCGCAGTGAAAAGTGTCAGCCGCAGAAATGTATAACGGTATCCGTGATATCTTGTGGATAGTGTAACCTGCATACGTGATTAGGTGATAGTGCTGGCCCATTTATTCCAATGAGTTCAGTATTCAAGCGCGTGTTCGAATTAGAGTTCCAAAGTCTCTCTTTGTCCATTGTCATTTTGTTATTTTATAGAATTAGAATGATCAATTATTTTAATTAAGAATATATCTCTTTAAATTGCTTATTTAAATTATTGATAAAATACTAGACTTTTTATTACCATGTGTGTGAATTACAAGATTATATCAGAGCTTAGAATTTGTTATTACAATTTTCGTTTTTTCTATACAAAATTTATTTTTGCAATATTTTTATTTATTTAATATTATACATTTATTTTTATCAAATAATATTATTTTTATGAAAACCTTGTCACTTCATAAAGGAAATTTATCATTCATTTTAATATACATAATATATTTTTTTACAGGTATTATACTGCTGGTATTTAAATTCGGCAGTTTTCTATCGAAAATTTATTCCGGCTGGCACGCAACATCGCATCAACCAATTCACCTACACATTCACAATCCATACGTTCAACCACAAGTTTATCCACAATTGTATCAACAATGGCCGATAAGTAGTCCCGAGGACCATCATTATTATTGAAAGGGAAATATATATGTATAGAGGTATTTTTTCGATTGCGAAAATTTTATTAATAAGCCATAACAAAAAGAAGAGTTTAACGGAAGTCAATAGTACTCGATAGAATTTGCATCAACTGCATAATTTATTAGAAAGAGAGAAATAGTTTTCCCTTATTTTCATTTATCAATTTTTATTCGGCTAATTTTATTAATAGAGATAATTTAGACATTAATATTTATCACAGTCATGCTCTTCTCTAAACTAATTTTTGCAAACATTTATTTTCACACATTTAGTCTGAGAAATAAATATGTGGACACATCAATTTAACAAATGTTAGACTTTACTACTTTGATCATGACTTTTCCGCGAGCGCATGTGTTTCATATGTAAATGTAAGCGCTACTTTTATGGATGTACCAAAGGAATCTCTTAACTTATTAATATAAAATCATAGAGGAAAATAATTAATTATTGCGTGGACTTATTCCTTTTTTAAAGGAAATAGAAATAGCGCTTTCACATAACGTGATAAGTATTTTAATTCTCATAATTTATTGATAATTTGAAATTATAATATAATATTTTTACATACATACATACACATCTGAGATGTGCCACAATGAGCCTTCAACATACGTAAATACGAATTAGACAGTATCCTATGTACATTGCATACCGAATTAAAAACTGTAATCATCAAACAATGATTTGAAGGCGCGGGAAGTATTAATTTAATTTGTAAAAAATTGTGAGAAATATTTATAATTTATAACTAAATTTTTTCCTATGTATATACCATATATAAAAATTTATATATTTAAGAATTAAAACCGTATACCTCACATGTTACCAGTGAAGATAAAATTGGTCATATTGTAATAATATATGTTATCTAATTATTGTAATATATTTATTATAAAGTATATGTATTTATTATAGGAAACGAGAAAAAGATTTTTCAATACTCTACACATACTGTATACAATAATTATAAGTATTATAATTATAATAATTATAATTACGATAATTATATTAATATCGAACATATAAAAATATATTTTTAAGTTATGTTTTCTTAAGATTAAAAGAAAATTGATAAGAAAATTCCATAATGTTTAAATACGATAGGAAATTGTAGGAAAATTATGTAGAAAGCACAATTTTAGTAAAATCTTACGTAGAGCTTATTAAAAGCAATTTATTAAAGTACCTTTACCGGCAAGCGGTTACTGCAGTGAGTCATTGACCAAGTACATCCACATTGCTTCCGATGTAAATAGCGTTCTCTAGTAAACGGGACCCAGTTTTCCCGACCTAGTGGGGTATCCGAAGAATAAAAAAGGTAAAATATCTCTGTTGCACTTCGCGTATCACATAGCAGTCGGCGTAGTAAGCGAATACGAGGACAACGCGTTTTATTGCGCGAATCGAAGGAAAAATCGTTAAAATAGTTTGACGATTGTAAATATCGTCAAAACGTTTTTTGACACATATTAGCGAAATGTTTGTTTAATTAATATCAGTGGATTGTAAGATGATATCTCGTTAGTAATGTTATAATGATAATTACGGAAGTGAGATGTGAGTGAAAATTGCCTGTTTTGTATCTAAAATTTGTTTTAACAAGGTGATATATTTCAATATAAAGTAAGTTGTAAAATTTTGTTATATAGAGTTAATGTTATATAAAATAATAGTTATAGAATTATGTTTTGTATAAATAATAATTAAGAAAAAAATGTGAAATTATTTTCTTTAAAAAACTTGTGTAAGTTAATAATTTTAAGAATTTGATAAAATTAAAAATAAATTACCTTTCCCAAAAGCTGTATAATTTATTATTTCAGAAAGTCAACTATATGTAAATTTATTCTAAATTCGATAATATGGTTTGGGCAAAATTATACATTTATAATATTGTAATTTGGCTGATAATATCGCCAATATTATCAATTCAGGCCGAAAAAAGGCTAAATAACACACAAATAAGTTTTAATGAATCCCAAACTTTAAACATCCTTCCGGGAATTAAATGTTTGTGGACGGATAGTGAACTCATTGTTGATGTGAAAATTCAAGATTTACTACAAGGTATTTTTAATGTTTTTATTTTTCTCCTATCTGCAAGATAACTAAAGTGTATTTTTTTCTTTTAGAGACGAAAGTGCAAAGTTCGAGGCAAGCAAGGAAAAAGAAAAAAGAACATCCTTTAAAAAAACTTGCATACATGCTGATGATGGCACCGATAGTTTGGCAGGTTTTTATTTGTTATCTTTTTATATTCTCTGTTATAAAGAGAAATGATGAAATCTATGCGATAATGTGATATAATCTAAAATCTTTGTTTCAGGTATTGTCCTTACCAGGCGCTGTAGCATCTGTCAAAATGTCACTTTTAAAGAGTATCATGGTGGCGAAATTAGCAATCGTATTAATGATCTACAATTATATCAGAAGCACGCAACATTCGGAGGTTGTGGTCCATAAGAAGCTCCATCATTATCGCGGTCAAAATAATTATCCCATTAAAGACGAGGAGGACGAATGGTTCGGTAGATGAGTTAAAGTGTAACAATAAGAACAGAGTGCATATTATGGTTTTCAATTTTCTAAAGTGACACACTCAAACGTACGAAAGACATCTGTGATATAAAAATCATTTCGTTACAATGAAAAATTACAAAAATGCTAAAATTCTATTATTCATATGCACATGTCTTTACATATAAATGATTTGTTATATGTTGTTAAATATTGAATTATTCAATCGTTTTCAAAATAGGATTTTCAAAAGAAATATAGAATGATCTCTCGCAGATTGCATGTTCGTTTTACCTTGCACAAAGCGGAATGCCGGTCGGTAGGTAAGAATGATATCAAGATGTCGGCTGACCTACTTTGAGCCTCCACACATAACGGCATTTTGGTCCAGATTCTTGCAGATGTGCAGACGTACCCATTCAGGTTTTCTCATTTCTCTCTCGGTAAATTCGACATAGAAATCGAAATTAGAATTCCGCCGCGCTTCCCGCTCCAAAGTGTTTCTTGATAAACTTTCTTAAATGCAAACGCAAACAACATTCTGATGTGCGAACAACATGATTAAACACGGTAATTATAGCTAGTATCGAAAGTTCCGTCAACGGTGAATTGAATCTTTCGATATTCGTGAGGCGTATACGTGCCAGAAACCCACCTTCCGCGAGCATCATCGTTGTTAGTATGCCGCGATGATCGTCGGTTCTAAATCGACACCTCGCCATACAAATCAGATTGGTATGCGTTTTCTAGAGTACAGAGTGCACAATGCACGAGGCATACCTATGTGACAATTGAGAATTAAGCGTTTGCTTATCACGAAACTCTCAGATCGGGTAAACACAACGTTACAATACTACGTGACGGTATTTAGATCTCTCGATTCTCCATCAGATATTCGATATTCCACGAACTGCCCATTTTTTCAACTTGTTCCAGATTGTCGCGGAAAAAGTCGAACGGCAGACGAATATATTAGATTAAATGAGATAGAGAGAGAATTTCATTCATCACAAGTCTTTGAATTTTGGAATTTCAGTTTCCTCCTTTTCTCTCTTAATATTGATCAAATGTAGATTTCTAGATTTTAACGAGAATAAACATTTCTTCTTGATGCTTCTTCTTACAGATCGACTTAGAAGTAATATTTGACACTTTCTACAAGTCTGACTGTATATTATCGATTTTAATTGCGACGTCGAAGCTTCATCTCCGAGATTATAACTCATCGTGATTAAAAGGATATAACGGTGCCACTTTCGATGATTGTACGATTTCTAATTTTAGCGTCATGTGTCCTGTGCGCCATATATTTAGAAATAAATTTTCGAGACACAATTCCCGAATCGATTCGACTATTGACGTATACCATCTGTGTAAATAGCTTTGGCCTTCATTCTAACGATACTGTTCTATTTATTTACTACCTCTTCAAAAACGAGAGAAAAATATGTTTCTACAATAAAATATATAAAATTTTCTTATCCACTTGTTCGTACATACATATGTCCAATAATTTTGTTGAAAATTTATTTTAATCGAAATCAATTAACTTTAAACAAGATTTTATGTATACATCGCATGCTGTGCACAGCATTTAAAATTGCAAAATTCTGCTGACATTATAGCAACGTGTCCCATCGGTTGACCTATGTGCATTGAACGTGCATTAATTTATTCTTATCCTGGATTGTTCGCGCAGCATTCCTACAAGAGTAGTATTCGTTCTTTAACAAGATATGGCTTTTCATGGCAACGCTAAATGTAAGAAAATAAAACGAAAGGTCATCTAATAAATACAAGCTTATCACGATGTATCTTTTCTATACTATGCTTGTTAATATTCATTTTAAAAAACATCATTTCCTTCTTTAAAGCACCTGAATTAATAGCAATTTTAATTAATTCCATGCATTTAATTGATTTAGTATAATAGATAATAAATTTAAATATTTGAAAATCCTCAAGCTTGTTTTGTCGATAAATATTAATGTTATAATCAATTTATCATAATATTAGATATAACTTCAAAGAGCCTTTATATTAATATACAAAAAACAACAAATTATGTTAAACAAAGTAACGGAAAATAATGGAATGCTATGCTTAATAACTTTTATGAAGATACGGATTATGCCTTAATGATTTGTACAAAGAATCTATAGATAAATTAATAGCTTTTCTTACGTATACAGTATTTGTGTCACTCATAACTCTCTATAAGACTGGAACATCGTCGGTAGTTTAATATAAACAGCAATAAATAAAATTTTATAATCCGGAGCGGATTGCCCTGACGATATGTACGATTCGCAACGATTTACCACCGTGAATGATTCCTTAGCCTCCTCGTGTAATTATTCCTTAGCTAGATGCGCGAATCATGTGAAAGCATCTGCTTGCCGAGAAAAACATCAAAGACCTCCCGATTTTTCCATCTCCTCTTCTCCCGCGATGCGCGTCATCGAATCGCTTCATAGATAATCTACGAAAAGGTTTTTCTCGTTTGTTACATCACCATTGCACGCTCGAAGGATTCGTTCGTTCCATCATTCAGTTGCGTGATTTCAAAGCCGCAGGGATCTTCGCGGGATGTCGTCCTTCGTGGTGAGGATTCAAGGCTGAAGAAGGAAAATACGCGTTTTCACACCTAACAGAAGCAATTTTCGTTGTAGAAAGAACAGTGCATCCTGCTGTGCTTGCTGTGGTATCTGATCGCGCAACATCGCGTTCTTGCGGATGATAACAACCCTTATCATTTCTCTTTCAACATCGTTGATTTTCAGCACAGATTCGAAGAAAAAGGTATCCCGGTCAAAAAGAAGTGTTGAAAAATTCTTGCTATTGCGAAGCAAACTTATTAAGCAATTCTAGTCACAAACAATATGATTAAGTGACATTTTTAATTATTTTCCATCGAGATGCGGAAGGACTTATTAACGGGGAATACGGTTTCATTACGGCTGATGGCGTCTATCACGAGACTGGATATGCCACGGATAAAAATGGCGATTTTATTATCACCAAGCAGAGACACCGAAAGATAACAAGTTGTAAGTTTTAAAATGATAAACCAACAATTTTCGCGTGTCTCTCTCAGTTATCTTAAATTTCTGAAAGTTTTTGTCTACCCTTCATAAGTAAAGGATGCGCAAGAAATATTCAAGGATAGACCGGAAGCGGCGAAGAAATTAATAGAAGCTGTGCTAAAGGCTTGCAGTGGTTGTAAAATCCCAATGGATATTCAACCGAAACCTGCAAATACAGTCACGGAATCGCCGCTGCAGAAAAAAATGGATCCGATATTGAAGCAAATGATGAAGACATTGACGCAAAACGTAACACCTGGTAAGATGAAAAGCACATGATTCTCTATTAATATCAAATAAAAATAATAAGAAATTAACGCTCTTTAATTTTACGTTTCCCAAAAATATTTCAGCCATCGAGAAAAAACAGCCACCGAAGGACACCATGAAAAGCATGTTGCGAGCTGCGAAGAAGCTATTGTCCGAAGAAGATAATCAGAATAAAGTAAGCGATCGAGAACTAGAAAGGATGGCGAACGATCTTTATTATCGGTTTAATTATACAATAACGACGCATGGACACCACGAAGATGGTTATCGAAACGGAAGAAAAGACGGTAGCTATCAATCGCGAGATGAAAACGGTGTTGACACGCAGGTGAAATATATATCCAATGAATTCGGGCATCAACCCAACATAACATTCACTACGCAGACGAATGCGACCGATGAGAAACATGCTTTCAAAGGATACTTATTTCGTTGGTACCGACCGTAAACGTGATTTCATACATAATGTGGATTTTATTATGACTAAAGTTTATTACAAAATGTACTAACATTTATTTCAATAATAATTGAGCTACGTCTAGAAATTTGTAAAATTTTAGATTTTAGAAGTGACCGTCTTTTTTGATAAAAAAACCAATATATTACACAATTTTAATAACTAAGATAACAATAATTCATTTGTAAGATACAAATTACATAATAGATTAATAATTAAAACATTTATTTTTTTTACAAAATGTACTAACATTTATTTCAATAATAATTGAGCTACGTCTAGAAATTTGTAAAATTTTAGATTTTAGAAGTGACCTTTTTTGATAAAAAAAACCAATATATTACACAATTTTAATAACTAAGATAACAATAATTCATTTGTAAGATACAAATTACATAACAGATTAATAATTAAAACAATTTATTATTTTTTATATATGTATCTCCTAAACGTAGCTCTTTATAACGTTAAATTACATAATTGCATCTATGCAAAAACATATGACTCAGATTAAATTTTGTTACAAATTCAAAATAAATAAAGTTATGATTAAAATAATTTATTGAATTCAAGCAATATTTTCACTATCTATTTCAAAACTTTGATACGTCATCTAAAATAAAACTTACGTAAGAGGTCTCTTTAGTTTCTAACAGGAATTCTAACAGGAACTAAAACTGTAAAACTGTAAAAGTAAAAATCTTAAAAGTGTGACTAAACAAAATAAAAAAGCAGTCGGGCTAAAATATATCAGCAATTAAAAATATTTTATCAAATTCATTCATAATTTTTAATTGGCCGTGCGAAAAATCAGCGTATTCACATAGTATGTGTCTTCATATCCTTCTAATAATAAATGTATATTTATACAGAGGGAACGCGTATCTGCTGTTTGCATCGAGCAGATGTTTCGGAGATTATGCTATTAGAATGATTCGAAATTAATCTTCGCGTGGTTAGCGATTTAGCTGTCACATAAATAATACGAAAAATAACGGTTACGATAGTAAAATTTACACTACGCGAGCTGATATTTCTATTCTACCAAGTTTATTCTTGGTTTATATGATTGTCCCCTTTTTCTCGGATTGCATATGCAAAAGATATCGAATACATTTCTGAAAAAAAAACAATTTTAAAGCAAACGTGTATATAATAAATATTTAGGCGACAGGATCTTTACACATTACATGAGCCATATTTCGTTTTATTATATGTTAGGTTTCACATATAATAATCTCACGTACGCACGATTTATCGTAAGCTATATGATCGCGCGTCACAACACCTATTACGTCTTGTAATCGAGGATTAAGGCGACGCGAGCAAAATACGTAAAGGGCGAATATAATCGTGCAGTGAAAGACAAAAATTCTCCGAAGATTGATATATGTATAATTCACGAAACGGTCAACTACACGTTCCGCGATTCGTGTTCGCGGTTAATTAACGGCACAAAAGCCATTGAGAAACGTTGTGACAGTCGAGCTGTCAGACGTGCGTGCGTGACCACGAAGTTCTGAACCTTTAAAAACCGGTATGTCGTTCTTATGATAATTGAATCAATGACAAGTAATATTTCAATCTTTCCCACGAAAGATCCATTAAAATAAAGGGAGAAAACATACATCTCTCGTATTCGAGATAATCTAATGTGATGAATCAAGCGGGATAATCCGATAAAAATATGGTAAAAATATAGTGAATATTCACAAAACCGTGATTTAGAGATATATCGAATATATGCAGCCTGCAATTCTTTTTTCGAAAGTAACGATTTCACTGCGATTTGATATTTCTTCGTTCTTAAAACGACGATAAAAGCGGCCGGAATTGGGTTGTATTAGCATGCGCCGTCGTTCAAGTGGAATTTCTGTCTTCGGTCCACGTACAGTGTGTCGAGCACATGTGCCAAGTCACTCGTAGACTACTTTAAAATTATTCTCACAATTAGAGTTTTGCGCAACTAATTATTCAAAATTTTATTTTAAATTATGATTTTAAAAATTTGATTGAGAAAATATCTCATATAAATTTTCTAAAATCGATTTGCCGATACTCGATAATCATTAAGAAAAATGTCATATTTATTTTATCATTTCCGCTTTCAAGTTAAAGATTGATAAAAAAAAAAGGAAATTCAAAGATGCAAACTAAAGAAAAAGAAAAATTGAAGAAAAATGTTAAAGTGTCGCGAAACAATTATATCCGGAGAGACATTGAGAATGAAAGTTGCCGTGATTTCATTGCCGCCGCATAAATTTGCAAAGCCATGCCGTATTAGCGGCGATATCGAACTCCTTTCCATTCACAAGGCGGGCCCACGACAAGGCCCAGGTCCCTCCGGGATGACGATTTACATTTCGTCGTGACGTCCACAAAAGTCCACCACAGTGGAGGGGTTGTCCGCTAGACTTGCGCGAAACCAAACCCACTATTGGCGGAAGTTGGGATGGAAGGGACACCAGTCTCATATATGTTCGACCACGCACGCTCCATAACCACTTCGAGACTGTAATACGCGGTCCAAGGCCACGGTCGGCGGTCAAGATCGAAAAAAAAAACCGGAACACGAGAGGGTGACAGTTAGTCATCAGAAATTTGGTGATAACGGTGCGCCTCGCTCTAGGTGAAAATCGAACAATTTCGGGGAAAAAGAAAAATGAGGATAATCGCGTCGATCGTTTTGATCCTCGGACTTGCCCTGTATGTTCACTGCGAGACGACGGAGGAGAGCAGCCACGAAGAGGATGGTATTCTCGATTGTATGTTCGCGAATAACGCCGGAAGTTGCCTGAGGTCGACCCTGGATCGTGACCTGGACCGAATCGAGTTGGAAGTTACCGGGAAAAAAAGCGAACCACCGATGAGCACGGTGGTCGCACAGGCTGGCAATATCATCGCGGAGGTCGTTGATGATCTGCAGGAGACTGGCGCCGAAGGAATTATCGAAGAAGATGATGCTCAAGGCGATAATGTCGGTAAGAATCAGAAATCGCAAAATTATTGCATCAGTGAGGGATGAACAAATTTTATTTTTACTTACTTATTCATTCTTTATCATTTTTTTCAATCTAACGATTATGCATCAAGCATCAAACTTTCTTATTTTTTATCATATATATATATATATATATATATATAATCATCTCTTCATATAACATACGTATAATACTATTTATTATTTTAAAATTATATAATTTTTCTGATAACATTTTTATAATAATATAAAACATTAGTCAATGATTAATTAAATTGTCATAAATCAAAATCGGCGACATTCTATGCAAATTTCTAATTGATGAGCAAACGGAAACGCGGAACGCGTGTCATCCGTGTACTCTCTTCTTTCATACTTTCAGAGAAGCACCGTTGAACAAGACTGGTTAGCTCTTACTCGTCTCTCGTAGTCGACTTCTTTATTAAAGATTAACAACAGGAAGTCAGTTCACATCTAGGAGCACTAAAAATTACTGTGCCGATTTTCATCTCTGTTAATGTATCTAGTTTACCCTAAATGATGCCATTGTAATCGACTTGCCATGCGACTTTAAGTAATACGAGAGAAAGCGGTTGTGAGAATTGAAGTAATTTTGATGTAAGCTTTATATCTCAATATATATGATAATTAGTTCTTTTGTCATTTCTATTTAGTAGTTATAAAATTTACAATTAATTGCTGCACTATATAAAAATGCTATAAAAATTATAGTACAGCGGTAAATGCTGCTAATTAAAAGTATAATTCAAGTGATAAATAATGTCGTAAACGGAAGGAAAGTAGATGCTATCGGAATATGACATTATATAATTATGAAGAAAAGAAGTGCTATCGATGATCGTAAATGTGATATGAATGAATGCCATTCAACTACGTATCGTTTTTATATAGGGATTTTGCAGATCCGAAACGTGGGAATTCGCGATGGTAAAGATGAACGTGACGTGTGTTTTACATAATACGTTAACGTCGGCTGGGCGCGATCGCGTAAACGCAAAAAATGAGTCTTAACGAGTCTCTCCGAGGAAACAAGGTGAACCGCAAGTTAACGCGCGATTGGTCCCACAAAGTTCCCCGCGTTTGGGTCAACAGTGACATGTTTAAATGTTTTGCGCTCGTGCACGCGACTGGGTTCACGTGCGCGTGTCAGTGATGTTGTAACACAGTTTATTCCAATTTAATGCTATATGACACTTAGGCAAATCGCCGGTAACGGTACCGATTGCATTCGTTCGCTGCTGTCTTAGCTATTTTTTCCAGCAAAAGTCAACAGACGCAAATCTTACGAGAAAAAACGAACGAATTTCATCCGTGGGATGTAGCAACACGAATTTTTATTCCTCGAAAAAACATAACGTCATCTTTTTCTTTTTTTCTCGATCTCTCTCTATTTTTGTAACGAGATATTTATCATTTTTCTACCAAAAAAAATCTCGATTAGTCAAGTGGACAATAACGGTACCGCAAACATTATCTTCGTTATCTTTTGGAGCGTACAAAAAATTGTACGGTACTTCCGAGGAAATTGTTGACGACAAATTGAATAATTCGACGAAGGACATTACGCTAATTCGCTGCGATTCATATCGATTTAATATTTTGTCGACGAGCGAAAATGGAACGGAGTATCAATTATTGACATTTCGTAGATATGATTCTTTAATCGTTGTACATAGAAAAAAAGAGGAAGATATTATTATAGCGAAAAAATTCGGCCACGAAAGCAATCCGCGTATCTCTCTTTTCATATACCGGTTACGGACGATTGCGTGGCCCGAAAGTCAGACGAAATCTACTACAGGTTGTGGTTTGTAGGTCAACTGTCCCCATATACATATCCTTGCCAGATTGCTTCTCGCCGAGCTTTCGTTGAGATATTAAATCCACGCTATAAATTCAAAAAAAAACAATTATTGTCAAATATAAAGATTGCATCCCTTAAAAGAAATGTTGCTCTTTGTATTCTCTTTCGATTCAGTTTCAATGATCTGCTCCCGTGTTTAATTACCTTTCTCGCGTATAAACTAGCAAAAATTTATGATGTTAACTGAGCATGTATATAATTTTTTAGAAGAAGCGCGCAAAAAGAAATTTAGCAAGAAGAAGAAGAAGCATCTGCAAAAACTTTTGGGACTGGCGATGTTGTTAAAAGCGAAGCTCGGTCTACTGCTACAGCTCATCAGCACGCACTTCCAACTCAAGTTCTTCGTCATCGCCATCATCTCATTGATATTAAACGCCGCTAGGTTCTGGATAGAGATCAAGAAGAATCACCCCTCCAAGGTTATCTACTACGAACACGCACAACATCAGCATCACTACGATCATGACGATCATGACCATGGTTATTGGGGAAGATCGTCGAATGAGACACCTCAAGAAATCGCTTATCGTGCTTACGTACCTATGGAATGACATCAGAATCGGACAAATCTGACCGAAAAGAGTTTAGCGTTAGAAAGATCAAAGAAGAATCAAAAGTCACAGTCTTTATTTTAGAGCTAGCGAATTCTCAGTTAGAAAATATTTGAGACAGAAATATGCGCGATATTTATTTTTTTGTATTTCTAGATATTTATTTATTTATTTTATTTACTGTATCGAAGTGAATGTTATGCAATCGTGATTTTTGAGTTTATTTAATGACAAACGATCGCAGATTTATCTGAAAATTGTAATTATCATATATAAAAAGAATATTTCCTTTCTTATATCATACCAAAGTCGCTTACGAGTACCTGTTCTATCTCACTACGCAGATATTTTTTTAGAATCAGCTATTGTATAATTAAAAGAACATGTTGTTATCGTACCATGACATAGCAAACACATTTTAAATCTAAGTTTAACATTTTTCTGTGTGTAAATGTTTTTACCGTAAGAGAATAATATTATATAAAATGATGCAGCCTCTCAGAAAAGAATTTTTCTTTATACATAAGACAATAATAATTTATAATAGCAATCAAATAATTTCTACAGTGTGTGTATGTACTAAAATTTTTGATAATAAATTATACTAAGGAAAATGAAAATTTATATTAAGGAAAATGAAAATTTGTCATGTCACTGTAAAGAGAAACTTTTGGCAGTTTCGATGCACGAATCGCATGACCTTCTTCAGGCACATCGCTTAGGTGGACCATCCTGAAAGCTTTGTATTCCTCATCAGAGCACAGCGGGCAATGCGACTGGAATCTTTAAGGAGCGGTGATACTTTCAGGGTGTTCACCTTGCTATTGATCGATTCAACGATAGGCAGACGAGATTTTGCGACGATTGCAGCGCATTGATGCACCACTCACCGGAAATTAAAATCTTTTGAGAGGAACGTGTGTCTTTGTATTTTATGTAGGAATATTATAATTAGATTAGAATTAAAGGGAATATTACATTATAATTATATATTAAAGGGAAAACATTTCTTTTATGTCCTTAAAAATCTTTAACTACGAAAAGCTATCGAATCTTAGAAAAAAATGTATCGAACGTATTATTCGTTGTTTCTATTATTAATGGCCAAAAGCAGATGTGATTTCATAATCGTCGAATACTCATCACCGTGGAAACCATTAAGTATTCACATCCCGAAAAAATGCCACTCGCGACGCGACCTTAACAAAGATAAGGCCCGGCCGGGACTGCCCTCGAATTTCGACGGCCAAATTTGCGTGACACCCCGTCTTCGAAGATTCGATTGGAACAAAGCCAAGAGCAGAATGAGATAAATATGTCGCGCGTTTCGAAAAAAATAAACAACTACGGTATAAAGAACAAATATTCACAAGACGTTACGAGATGGAAGAGTTACGAGAGAAAATTCGAAACATTTCGTGGTCTTTTGACATATTTATTTTCGACGCATGTAATTTATATCTAGCCTTCGAGCACTGTGTCTTGGAGTCCTCATAGATATTCAACGTACTTGATTCTTTGCAAAATCAAAATCCTTTTCCAGCAGAAGTACTTGTCTGACTGCTTAATGTTTTGATACATTAAAATGTTTTAATACATTAAATATTTACCAAACATTGAGCTGTCAGATAAATCTTTCTGCTGAAAAAATTTATCATTAAAAAATTATAACCATTATCATTATTTGATCGCAGATAATATTGTTTCATAAACAAAAATTATATCTTTTGTTTGAGATAAAATTTTCATAAACCCAAAAATGCAATGAAATTATGCATAAACAATAAAACATTCCCATGCAATTTTTTCCATGCATAATTATTTTATTAATTAATTTGATAGCAGATTAAAATAAGCAATTAAAATAAATAAATATAAATAATGCTATAAATCAACAAATATAAATAATTCTTTCTCTATTATAATTTAAAAAAATATTGTTGTATATTTACGCAAAGAGAATTACCGGCGAAAACTATTACAAAAAAAGTATTCCTGCATATGTACATTCAAGAATATAATAAATAAAAATTGCCAAATGAGCACATCAAGTATTTGCATCGGACCTTCGAGGTTGATGTGGACGTCTGACGATGGTCATTGGCAGACAAAACGTGATAAACTTACTGATTTTAATTTACCAAGAATCTGCCATTCATACAATATTCAAGATTCTTACGCACAGTTCGCTATATAACACTCTTCTGCAGATCACATCATCCAGTCTTCTTAAGATCCTCAAACAGAACTCCAATAAAACGTCACATTCACCGAGGAACTAACCGCAGTGACCAAGGTACCATCGTCACAAGAAATAACATACAAAGACACGTATTTTACACCTCGTTAAAATTATGATGCGAGAGAAGTTCCTCGCCGTGCTGTTTCTCGGTTTTATTGCGATAGTTCTGAGTTTGCCTCAGCAATCAAAGTCGAAGAGGCCCACTCCAGTGTTCAAGGTTTTTAAATATCGATTTCTGCGTTATTCTATATCACAGTTCTTCGAGATTGCAATTCATAGAAAAATCAAGTTTTCCAATCAAATTTTTTTAGCAATCTAAAACTGGCGGCTTGCTACTTCCCGATAACGCGACGTTTATCCGCGACAACATCGTCGACACGTTTTCCTGCCAGGATAAAATTTACGGATATTACGCCGATATGGAGAACGAATGTCAAGTGTTTCACGTGTGTCTTCCGCAAACTAGAGGCTCAATTAGATGGAGTTTTATTTGCCCCGCCGAGACAGTTTTCAATCAAGTAATATTTGCCTTTACAATTTACTCGAAAAATTTACAAGAAGAAAATCAGAAAATGCTGACGTTAAACAATGCCTAATTATTTTGTTCAAGGTTCGAAGGTATATTACAAAATATCTCTTAATTTTCGATTTGCAGGCAACATTTGTATGCACACGGACAGAAAGCTCGATACCATGCGAGGAATCAGAAAAATATTACGCTTTGAACGAAGAAATTGGAAAAGAAGTGGAAGAGGAAGAAGAAGCAGATCAAGAACGAGGAAAGGAAAATACCACAAAAATTTCTGAAACGATATCGAAAAAGTCATTTTCGAAAAATTCTAAATTAGAAGATCGAGAAAGAATGTTTCGGCGTCATTAAAAAAAATATTTTGTTTTCGCTCATTTAAGAAGGCTTTGTAAAGTATCGTGATTATAGCTAGGCAACATCTCGGCTTAAGAATAAAACAAATTTTAACTTGCCCCGATTGAAATTGACTAAACGTTTATTTAATATTTAAAACAATCGCTTCTAGATTGCTTATCTTTACAAGAGCGCTTTAAATAATGAAATACATACTAAAATTTAAATTATTATCAGTGTAAAATGTAATACATAATTACGCGACATGTGTAATATAAAATTCTGTGCAGTGCCAGTCGAATACGAGTTAGAATAAATCATATATTATGTGCAAAATATTATAAGCGCTTATATCTATAATTAATCAAATAAAATAAAAAATGCAGAAAAAATAATAGCTTCTTTTATCTTTGCATTTACAAGAAAAGGTAATGACGAGGTATCGATGTGATAATTATCATCAGGAAAAGTTTTTACAATTATATAAAAAGATATTTTTTATTGCTTACAGTATATAAGTACAGGTCAACAAATATAATCATCTAATACTGATATCTACTAGAATACAAGGCCATAATTATACAAGAAAAAGCGTTACACGAATGTCCCAAGCCTAAAGTGCACGAAATCGTGACGCGATAGCCTCGCAAACGTAATAAAAAAATAATCAGAAAAAACCTATTAATTAAAACAAAGCAATATACATGGCAATAAGAAAGTATTGCAAATAACACTATACATTTGCAGTAATTGATATGTGTTGATATTGGTCCTTTGTGAACTTATATAATACATATAGAACAACTAAAGAATATAAAAACGCATTAAATAATAACCGAAAGTTTTTTGTTATTATATATAACTATAATTAATATTAAAATATAGTTTCGGAATATTAAACTTAAATTAGAAACACACATGCACACGTAAAGCGACTAAAAAATAAATCCAAAATCATCGTCCGATTCGCCGATCATCATCATAAAATTTTCGTGAAATCGCACAAGTCGCGACGTTTGAAACATCATCCACAACTCCCGCGCGTTCCATAATTTTCTATTCGATATCTTTGGATATCTAGCTATCATCTCAGATAGGCGAAGCCTATCTAGCTTTTCGTATTGCCGATAAAATAATAAAACAAGCAACAATTGTACAAGAACACTCATATTCACATAACAACACGCTGACGATAAATCTCTTTGTTCTTGAAATGTCGATTTATAATGTGCATATAGATAAAATTTAAAAAATTTAATAAAAAACTATATATCCAAAACGTCTGCGATATTAACCCGTATTTAAAAAATTTATATGTTAAATCATGATTTTTATAATGTAGCGAATCATCTCTCTTTAATCAAGTTAAATAGAACGTGTTACGCTTACAATATTAGTTGCATTCAATATATAAGATTATTTACTCAATATAATAATTCTAATTATATCTACGAATATTTACATAAATTTATCTCTATTAACTTTTCGTATTAAAAATATACATATAATTACTAAATACATATGTTCAATAAATCTATTTCCATGCAATGAAAAATATATATTAAATCTTCTTTTTCTTGTATGTATATGTATATGTGTATCAAATTAAATCTCTTTCATTGTAAAAAAATATATTGTTTTATATAATTTTTTTAAATAACACTATATATGGGTTTATGAAAAGTATACAGAGCTTCTACAAGAAAAAATAATAAGTAGGTTAATGTAAATATATTCCTATGATGCGATAAAAGGAAGTATAGCGACTTGTTTGAAAATCTAATATCATATGTTCTACCCTGTATATTGTCCTTTTTAAAAAATATTTTTCGGATTATAAAATAATTGTCTATTTTATATCGCGTTAGAATTAAATCGAATTTTTAATTTTTTTAATTAAATAGAATTTTTCGAAGTAGATTCTCGATCAAATTTGAATTAGACTCTTTTTTTGCTCCTAAAAGTTAAATTCATTTAAGTAAAAATTCATACCTATTTACATATATATTTTAGTCTACTAAACACGGCAGACTTTTGAAACTACGCCTCGGAATCCATCGTGAGATCCGCTTCTATCTCTTCGGGACTTCTCAGGTCGATCGCGAATCTCTTTCTAGCAGTATTATTTCCGGCTAGTTTCTCCTGAGCCTTCACGGTTTTGGAATAGATCTCGAAGGCTGTTGCAAGAGCATACGTTAATTGTCTTGCATAATACTTGGACTCGCAAACGAAACCGTGGCACTCGAACGGCGAGATCCTCCTGAAGTTTTCTGTCTCGCGAACGACTATCATGGAGAAGACCCTGGTATAAATGAGATCCTGCACCCCATAGGAGATCGTCTCAATAGGATGCATTCTGGAACTAGCATCCAGCTTCCTCTTATCCAGTGGCAACAAGGCAACACCCTCCTGAGAGACCACCAGTTTAATAAGAGGAAGCATTGTGTTGGTCGGCAAGGCCTTTGCAGCAGAAACCATATTATCGACGGGCCTTCTCGTGTGCTTGATGCCCCAGAGGCCTCTTGCATCGTGGGAGCCCAAATATTTCACCTGAAAACGGCCCACCTAAAGTCTTGGACACTCAACGGACTTCTTAAGGACTAGTTCTTTATACGACGCGCCCTTTTAATATTTTCTTCTAACGCAATTTTAGCCTTCACAGATTCGAACACTAATCATAAAGACATTTCGCGATTGCAAATTTTATAAACAATTAATTATTATTAATACAATTGTTTCTTAAAGATTTTTTTATTAGAAAAATATTTCTTTTTTTCATATAAATTTAAAGTGTAAGACAGGCAATAAGAGCCAAATCACGGATGACAGTGCGTTATCCCAACAAAACTAAATTTTTTCATTAGAATTAATCTTTTTTTCATGATTTTTTTACATTATTTTTACTTGAACAAAAATATATTATTACATATATTTTACGAGAATGTTTACATCGCTCAATTGATATATTATACGATTAAATCGAGTATTTGTATTTTGCTGAAGAAGGTATAGAGCAAATATTAGCGCAATACTTTCGAAAGGTTCAAAGGTTCCTGCTTGAAAACTATACCTGAAATACTTGAGGCAGATCGGTGGATCCTTCGAAGACATTATTGTCGATGGATAAACGCTGCAGCTTTGTTACGAGATCTTTCTTCTTATCGTCGAAGAATGGTACCGGACTCTTCTCCTTCTTCATTTCTTCCAGAGACTGGTCCCTCTGTTGCAAATTCGCAAATTATCTTGTAATCTTATCAATCGATGTTTTATTTGTTCATCATTTAAATACGACGTTCAAGAATCTTTTCTTATCTTATTCTTTAGAATTCTTTGTTACATTATTAATTAAATAGATCATAAACGAGCATTTTCTTTCTCTCGCTTATGAATTATTTAATAATTGATCTAGAACTAATTTAAGATTAATTATTTATTAAATATAATTCACAAGAGATAGATATTTTAACGTGCGATTCAGAACTAATTTAGGAGCAAATCATGAAATAATTGATAAGAAAAAAATGCTGAAATGCTGCATTAAATATCAGACGAATAAGAGATCAATTGATAAGATTATGATAATTTGGATCGATATAATTCTTAACATTCTTGGCATACAATCTAATTATGAACGACACTAACAAGGAATGGTAGCTCGATCTTCTCGCAGCTTATTGTGATTTCGGAGCACGTCCTTTTTACCTGCGCTCTGCGAAAGAACTACTCACAGGAATGTTATCGTGCCGGCTGTGTCTCGTCGTTGACCTGGGCTTGACTTTAAGATGATACTCCACCACGTTCGGTATGTTCGGCGTGTTGGGCACGACTGAGCTGACGGCGGTTGACGCGCGTTCACGGCCCTCGCTTCCGGCCCTGGTCGGAGGCGCTGAAGTCGTTGATCCACCACCACTGGCTTCCGACGTCTAATGGCATTTTATCAAGAGACTCTGTAGAGACGTCAATCTATTCTCGTATCTTCATAACATGCATCTTCAAGTCCGAGTTTTATGCACCGTATACTCATCATTTGACGAGATCATGTGGAACAATGCTCTACCTTTATTTGCGTCTTCGTATTCAAATGTAGCGATTTTTAGCAATTTTTGAATATTTCAAAGATGTAATTAGATTTTAGAAGACTTTGCTTCTTTGTTAATATTAGTGCAATTATATCAATTGTACTTGTTTTGTATTTTGAAAGTTGTGATCATAAGCGCTATTCGTACGAAATTGAATGTGCAAAAACAATAATTCTTTATAAAACAACAAACCAACCTTAAATGAAGAACAGATTCGTTGTCCATCGTTACGAATGATATTCTTGTCGTCCGTTTGTTCATTGCTAACAGTGCGAATCTTTCGCAGAACGTGGTCGGTCCGCCTCGCGAAACCAAAGTCCTCGTTTTCCATGATGATCGGTTAAATCGACTTCGTGGTTAACACGGAATTTATCGTTTCCTCCGTTTCTCCTTGTCTTTTTATCTCTCGTTTCTTACATCGGATAGAAATAGCATGCTCTGCAAATAATGTTTGTCGATCCTGAATGCATTATTCCCTCGTGCTGTCTAAAGTTCTTACGATCGTTGAACAGTACAATACAAAAACAAGACATCTATAATTCTTATGATCATCTACTTCCTCCTGCGTGTTTCTCGACAATGCGACCTCCGTACGCGAATTAACCACGAGTTTCGATGAATGACTGTGCAAGCCTATGACAAACGTAGGAGATTCACCCCCCGTCGTATTGTAATTATTATTATTTGAAGATGCGCCCGGGCGCGAAATTAAAAATGGACTTAACGTCTGAATTTCAACCGGAAAACAGCTGTCGAGCAGCACGTGTTGCACCTTGCATCGGCCTGCTTCCAGCAAGCTTTTTTCTTCCTTTCTTCCACTTCAACGAACCGTTTATTTGTGCTATTTATAATACAATCGTTGGAACAAAAAAAATTTATTACCTCATTATTAATTCGACAAAACATTGGTAAGAATAATATTAGTAATTCCGATCGTTTTTTTTAATTACAGTACTTTGTGTTCTATACCTTCTTTTCCTCGAGTTTTTAATCACATATTCTTTGACACAGTCACATGTTCTTATAGATTTCATATATTAATTCATATAGTCGTAAACTCTATATTTATTAAATTATAAATAAGTAAAAATAAATATGAAAGAATTGAATGGACAGACGGATGTTCACTATGTTAACTTTCGCTGCTCTCTGTAAACGCGCAGCGACAATGACAGGTTTTTGTTCACATTCTGTGATTACATCTCGACAGCGGATGCGCAGGACGCAATTGTATCGGCAATTTTAAACTTTACCTTTAGGGGGGGCTTTTCAGAACCGACAGGAAATGACTCAGGTGACCGATAGTCAGGTGAGGAAGGATTCATTAATGTATTGCGTTCGTTGCAGGTGTGGCGTGTTTCGGTTGTTCGGCTTCGTGTTTACGAGACATCCGCGTACGAACGTTTATTTTGGGAATACCCAACAAGAGCTTTGTATACACACAAAGACGGAAACTTGAAACCGAAAAAGTCATTATTTAAAAAATATGAAAAGAATTATATTATATTATAAAATTCAATGAATAAGATTTTACTCATTTGTAATATTTTTTTTTTTGGCAAAATGTAATTTTATAGCTGGCAAAAAGTAATAAATGTATGCTAAAAATAATGTTATTGCATAAGAATTGTTATTCAGATGTATCTCGAATTTTACGGATTGTATATCTTGAATTAGAAAGAAGGAATAGTTTCAACTCAGAAAGAAAAGGTGTGCGAAGGCAAAATAGAACACCCTGTACGTAGCTGCGTCTGTACACCTGTCGTCGAATTACACCCGCGTACAATAGCAGAACTGTTAATACGAGCTACACTCAACGGGTGTCTACTAAAAACTGAAAAAAATTTCCCTAAAAAAAACATTCATTTTAGGACTGGTTGTTCCAACTTCTGGGTATAAATTTTATCCGACAGATTTTATAATTCTTTAATTACTAGACATGCTTTTATTATAATTTTTTTATAGTTATATCATTTATAATTGATGGGTTTGGAAATTTTTTAGTACCTTTAATATTAGGATCATCAGATATAGCTTATCCCCGAATAAATAATATAAGATTTTGATTATTACCACCTTTAATTTCTTTACTTTTATTAAGGAATTTTATTAATGATGGAGTAGAAATCCGACAGACCTTATTCATCTCTTCTTAGATAAGTTTAAAAAAAAGAACACAAGTATGCTATCTGTGGAGTAAAATTTACCAAGAAATTGAAACAACCGAGTCTTATACAAATATTTGTGAGAGAGTGCGTGAGTAGACACTTGCCCGTTCAGCCCGTTAATGTTACGATCATGCATAGCGGTCAGAAATTAGAAGACACGTTGATAATCAATCAGCACATCGTGGTGCATGTGCATAATGTGAGAAGTATAAGAGAGAAGGTTCGGGATGTGCCCGATAACGGTAGCCTTAGCAGATGAAATAGAATCGCTGCTCGTTATTACGGTTTCTCCTAGATTTCCGTTATACCCCGACGTTTTATATCTCGCAGAATCCCGGCCTTTTATGTAATAAAAGAGAATTGCAAAAAGACGTAAAAAAAAAGGATTTTAATGTATCGAACAATCGCTCTATCTACATATTAACTGCATGTTGCACGGCGAAGCGGATTCCTCGTCAGCATCGACGATCGCGATATGCTTTTCGCGATCGTTGAAAAAGAAATTCGCCAACGCCGAAAAAATTTCACGGACGTTATTCGCGGCCCGCGATTATATCTGACAACGCAAAATCAGCTAATTCCCTCTTTTCATTCGCAGCTCGTGGAAGGGTGGAAACCGGAAGCGAGCGCCGCTGGATGTCTGACCGGAAGCTATTATGGTCGTGTCACGAAGGAGCTCCAACGATGCGTGCCACGCATCCGTCCTGACGGAATTCAAACGGAATATCAGCGGATTGTATTATAAATTCATAGGGGGAAAATCTAACAGTCGGGTCTAAATTGCGATTAAATCGCCACTCGCTAAAAAACATAAATTTCTCCCAAAAATCACATATGTGTTCCTATATATCTTTCACGTGTATCAAGATTCTTTGATAAAACGAGACTTACAAAAAAATATGGTGTCTGATAAAAATTATCTGACGTCTTTCTATTTATTCGAGTGTACTGGTATTTCATTCCATCGATACTTGCGTGGAAGTCAACAACGTTCGATAAACAAGTCAGGTAAAATGAGACATTCGTTTAAGAGTCATCGATATTCCACTCGTTTCTCTTCCCGAGCTTCTTGCAATTAAAATTCTTTTGCTCCACAAAATAGAGAATAGTGTAAAGTGTCGTATTTTAAGAATAAAACTTGAAAAACAAAATATTATTAACAAACTATATAAACTTATAAATTTATAAATTATATTATTAATTAAAAAATTTCGACAAAAAGTTATTTTAATTTAGTTCACCCTACTTCACATTATTTCGTGTAATAATTTCTCTTTAAATAATAATGGGTCACCATCATTATCTGAATGCTTATCATATCTCACGATTGCCTATAGTCAACCTCCGATATAAAGACGACACGTCAGGTGTCACAGATTTACAATCAAATATCATTGTTGAATATGCGACGAGAAAAAAAAACATACGCAATTACTCGTCGCGAAGCGACTTATCGTTCGGCGACGCAGGGATGCGTGCGATTGCGCAAGCACAACGGGAGACTATCAGCAGGCGAAACTATCGGGCGAGGAATTTACGACAGCCACAACCATCGATCGTTAATTTAAACAATAGCCGCATGCTAATTACGAGGATCGCCGGCGGACTCGCGGCGCGATGGAAATCAGCTGCAGCAAATCGCAACGAAACACACAACGGAGACGCTCGTGAGACGGATCGATTTATAGCGATCGCGATCGATCGATCATGATTCACGAGCGCGGCCGGGTCCGATGTAAATATATTCGCAGGCGGCGAATTGCACCTTCGGCTATTTACCTTCACTTTTCTGCGGCGGTTGACGTAAAACGGCGAAACGCATATGCACACACACACACACACACATACGCACACAGGTGATGTAAGTTCTAAATCGAGGTGGGTTCTATGGCGTGCCCAGGTGCGATCGTTCGATCGCGATCTCTTACCGTTCGATGCACCTGCGACAAGGGACGACGGTGGTTCTGGAGGCTGAAAAAGCCCTCGCTTCCGGAAACATCGTCGCGGTGCATCCGCGTGCGACGAGGCTCGCGGCGGCTCTGACCGATCGCTCCACGATCTCTCTCCGCGAAATCCGGAATTTGTATATGTATATCTAGCAGAGAAACGAATGACAGGCACCTGCGGTATGCACTGTCGCGTACGTGCGACTGAAAATGTGGGACAACAGCGCGTTCGCTCTGCGCCGTTCGTTCGTCCGGAGTCGCGCTACTGATAAAACGGAACGAGCTTCGATATAGAGTTGTGTATACACACGTACGTGCACACACACGAGCATGCGTCAGTTTATGTACCGGCATACCTGTAATAAACCTGAGGTTGACATGAGCGATAAGGCGCACGAGCGACTTCGCTAGAGATTAATTGCAATCTCAATTTCCGACGTAGAAAAATACTCTTCAGATGTTTCGAAATTGGTGGATCTTTTATTTTGAATTATTATCGTAGAATGCGGAATTGCGCGTAAGACATTTAAATTAATCATAGCGTAGAAATGATGGCTGATTTGAGAAATTATACAATAATTTCGATACTCAAAGTTATGTCTTCCTTCGGTGTAAACTTAATGATAAAAAATAAGAGTCATCAACTCTGTTCCTGAGCAAAGCGCGCGCTTCCGACATTCACTCTCATTATGATCTTTACCCGCATTACTTACATAAGTTAAAACACAATCAAATTCATGCGACAGAAAAATAATGTTACGCAATAAAACGTCGGAAACTTTAGTCGCGAGAAACAAAAACTTGGCCGTGTCCAAAAAAACCAATATTATCTTCCGACAAATCTATGCATTTCTCAGCACTCTTTCTCTCTATCCGTTGTTCCGGATATCAATCACAATCACATTGCGTAACATGACGTAATAAGATATACGCAAGAAGTTTGTGATTAAATAAACATTTACATCTGTAATTAATGTGGATCGGTGCATCCTCATTAATTCCGTCAGTGCAAACAATAATGTGTCTCACGTGTGAGTTCGTTTCTCTTCTCGAGAGAATTTAAGATAAATTATATAACGTTTTATACATTCATTTACACGGCATTTTCTCATTTATTTTATATCGCTTCATTTATCGTCAAATCGACGAATCTTTAAGGAATCTTCACTTTTCTCTCGAAGCTATCATCCCGATCCGCCATGAATTATTTGACGCTCGGCGAACGGTAAAAACGTGAGAATAGCTTTCGTATTTCTTTGTTGGCGTTCGACTATACACAGGGAAAGAAGATGCTTGGAAGTCAAGTCGTTATGAAATTGCGAGGGATTATATTGAACGAACAACGAACATCGTGCGAAGATGCTGGGCCGCTTCAAGAATATCGCGAAAGACACGTTTTTTTCAAAACGTTTTCCTATCTCTCAGACACATAATGCAGCATAATATTTCAAATATAATTATAGAAGCGAATGTAAATTATTTTTAGGCTAGTTGAACTTAATCTGAAAACAATAATAAGAATATTAAGTCGGCTCCTTAAATTTTTAAAAACACAATATACACCTCCTTCATCTCGGCCAATAGAGCCACACGCGATGTTATTGCGACAATTAAGAAAGAAAATTTGGAAACTAAGGATATTGTATCCTATGGTTGGGATCTCAGAAATTTCCCTGGTTCCTCTCTTAACTTTCCCTGTAACGACTTTCGGACCAATATTTTTCTCGCCTATTTCTTTACAGGGGAAGTTAAGAGAGGAACAAGGGGAATTTCTGAGATCCCAACCATAGGATACAAATTCCTTAGTTTCCAAATTTTCTTTCTTAATTGTCGCAATAACATCGCGTGTGGCTCTATTAGCCGAGGAGGTGTATATTGTGTTAATCTGAAAATTTGAAGAAACCTCTTACAAAATCTTACTAATATGATTATATGTTTTATTAACGAAAAATTGATGTATTTAAGTCATGCATGTGTGTTGGATTTGATCTTTCATTGCAGCATTTTTCCTTTTCACTTGCGCTAAATTCTTGCAAACAGGTCATCGAGTTCTCAGTGTAAATTCAAATTCGGAGCATTTTCCAATGTAAACGACGTGCTAACAAGTTATTCAATGAGAATGGAAAAGACATTCTCTCTCGCTACAACAGCGTCGAGGTGTCGGTATTCTTTCAACGATATGTTTCGTTCGCGCGCGGTAAGTCGCAAAAGTAATAAACAGACCTTCCCACGGCTGCCGCGTAATATATTTTGCAATCGCTCCGATATGTGTAATTAACACAAGTAGACAGATAATTAAATTAAGAACAACATTCTGCATCCGCACGCAACGCGCGCCGCAATACGACCCGTGCGAAATCGGTCGTAAGGAGAGA